CGACCCTGAGGTGGAGCGGGCCGCTCTGGGCCGTCCTCCGGGAGCGGTTGCTCCCACCGCACCCCCGCGGTCCAGTGGTCACCAATGTCTGTCACCCAGATTTTGTCTGGCATCCCAGTGTGATTTTTTTATCTTGCCCTTTTCTGTAAGGAAGGACTGACTTCTGAAACACAGTTTACACTTGTATTAAGCAGGAAACAAGCTTAACTCTCCGTGTACTTATGTGTAGGTTTTCACAGTTGTGAGTTGTGAGACTGAGAGATTGAAGAGAAGTGTTGTGAGTCTTCGGATCTTAACATTTTTGCTGTGTTTCGTTCCTGTGAACTCGCTGTCACTCTTGGTGCTTAAGTTGCCCCCTTGGTGGCCAGTGGGAGCCCACAGGCCGGCCTTTGGGACCTCACCTGCCCCTGCAGGTCCCTGACAGCCATCCGGTATTCGTCAGTGAGGACACGCTCCAGGTCCCCACGTCCCTCCCCTGCCCGGACCTGGAGTGGGCCTTTCCTCCGAGGAGACCTGGCCAGTGTCCCGGTGCCCTGCAGGCCCCCACCCCTGCCCGTCCCCCCATGCGCCTGCCTCGTGGCCTCCAGGGGGACAGACTCCTTCGGCTCCTACTCGGAGCCGGAGCCAGTGCTCGGCGCGGAGGCGGCGGCTCTCCCAGGGCTCCGGCACCGTGTCGGGGCGGCCGGAGGGAGCGGGTGCACGGGAAGCCTCACCCCGCTTCCCGCCTCGCAGCCAGCCCCGGCTCGGGTCCCCTCCCAGCACGCCAGGCCCCCCAGGCAGCTCCTCCGTTCAGCCTGTGTCTTATTCCGCCCGTGAGAGCCGATCCCGGGGAGCCAGCACCAGGACCAGGTCGGCCGCGCCGCGCCTCAGTGGCCGCCTCTGCTGCGCTGGGCGCCCTCTGTTGCCTCCGGCCCAGCGAGCGGCGTCTCCTCAGTGGTCTAACGCCCACCGCCAAGCCCCCCCCCCTTTCCCGTGGCCTGAGTGCTGCCGCCCGTTCCGCCTGTGCTCCTTCTGACCTCCTGCCCCTTCTCCGCCCCCCCCACCCCTCCCGCTTGCTGCCACCCAGCCGGGGCCCCCCCGGCCGCCTCGCCTGTGCTGTGCTCCAGGGCTCAGTGGGTCCACGTGGCTCTTCTCCCCCAGTTCAGTCGTCCTTGGGTTGGCTTTGCTGTTCTTGTGGAGGAGTCTAAGAAGCTGTGGTTTTAAAATAATAAAATCCTGGCCCTGGCCAGGTGGCTCGGTTGGGTGGAGCGTCGCCCCTCGCACGGAAGTGTCGTGGGTTTGGTCCCGGGTCAGGGTGTGCACGGAAGTCGGCCAATTGATGTTTCTCTCTCTCTCTAAAATCAACACACTTACCCCCAGGTGAGAATAAAACAGTAGTGAAATAATAAAATTCTTTTTTAAAAAAGTTTTATTGGTTATGCTATTACAATTGTCCCATTATCCCCCCTTCACTCCCCTCACCCTGCATACCCGCTCCCACCCACATTCCCCCCCTTTAGCTCATGTCCATGCGTCCTAAGTTCTTTAGCTTCTACATTTCCCACATTATCCTTGCCCTCCCCCCGTCTATTTTCTACCTACCATCTATGCTGCTTATTCTCCGTACCTTTTCCCCCCTCCCCCCCCCCCCACTGATAACCCTCCATGTGATCTCCATTTCTGTGGTTCTGTTCCTGTTCTAGTTGTTTGCTTGGTTTGTTTTTGTTTTAGGTGTGGTTGTTAATAATTGTCAGTTTGCTGTCATTTTACTATACATGTTTTTTTATCTTCTTTTTCCTAGATAAGTCCCTTTAACATTTCATATAATAAGGGCTTGGTGATGATGAACTCCTTTAACTTGACCTTATCTGAGCAGCACTTTATCTGCCCTTCCATTCTAAATGAGAGCTTTGCTGGATAGAGTAATCTGGGATATAGGTCCTTGCCTTTCATGACTTGGAATACTTCTTTCCAGACCCTTCTTGCCTGCAAGGTCTCTTTTGAGAAATCAGCTGACAGTCTGATGGGAACTCCTTTGTAGGTAACTGTCCCCTTATCTCTTGCTGCTTCTAGAATTCTCTCCTTCATTTTAATCTTGGCTAATGTAATTATGATGTGTTTTGGTGTGTTCCTTCTTGGGTCTAACTTCTTTGGGGCTCTCTGAGCTTCCTGGACTTCCTGGAAGTCTATTTCCTTTGCCAGAATGGGGAAGTTCTCCTTTGTTATTTGTTCAAATACATGTTCAATCTGTTACTTTTCCTCTTCCCCTTCTGGTACCCCTATAATTTGGATGTTGGAACGTTTAAAGATGTCCTGGAGGTTTCTAAGCCTCTCCTCATATTTTTGAATTCTTATTTTTTCCTTCTTTTCTGTTTGGTTGTTTCTTTCTTCCTTCTGGTCCACTCCTTTGATTTGAGTCCCAGTTTCCTTCCCATCACTATTGGTTCCCTGTGCATTTTCCTTCATTTCACTTAGCATAACCTTCATTTCTTCATCTAATTTGTGACCAAATTTAACCAATTCTGTGAACATCCAGATCACCAGTGCTTTGAACTGTGCATCTGATAAGCTGGCTACCTCTTGGTCGCTTAGTTGTATTTTTTCTGGGCTTTGATCTGTTCTTTTGTTTGGGCCATTTTTTTGTCTCGATGCGTCTGTTATGTAGTGAGGGGCAGAGCGTTAGGTGTTCGCTGGGGCGGGGCAACCCAGGTGCTGGGTTGTGATGCTGTATGTGGGGCAGGGGTCCGAGAGGGAACAATGGCACTTGCTCTCTCTCTGCCAGATTTCAGTCACTTCCCTTTCTTCCCCCAAGCAAACTGACCCTGTGGGTCTCTCTGACGAACTCTCCTGTGAGGCTGGGAGTCTCTCCCGGCACCTCAACCCCCAAAGGTGTTTCCTGTCGGTGTTTCGAGGCTATTTGCCCACACTGGAACCTTCCACTGGGTTGTGTGGTCTGTCTCACTCCCCGGTTTCACCTGGTTTATCTGCGCGCAAATGTGGGATCGCCCAGCCCGCAAGCCACCTTGCATGCCAAACCCCTCCACACTCTGCCACCCCGCTGGGTCCGCCCGCTGCCGCCTTGCGTGCCTGGGCCCGCCAGCCACTGCTTTTTTTTTTTTTTGCCACGACCCCTCTCCTCCCGGCCGCCCGGCTCCGTGCCTCCTACTGGTCTGGATGAACGTGTCCACTTTCACTTCTTGGTTGTCGGCCTTCCATACAGTTCAGTTTTCTGCCAGTTCTCGTTGTTGCTTTGTTTCTAGATTTTTAAAAAATTTTTATTTATTTTTAGAGAGGGAAGGGAGAGAGAAGGGGGAGACAGAGAGAGAAAGAGAGAGAGAGAGAGATATCAATGTGCGGTTGCTGGGGGCCATGGCCTGCAACCCAGGCACGTGCCCTGACTGGGAATCGAACCTGCGATGCCTGGTTCGCAGCCCATGCTCAATCCACTGAGCTACGCCAGCCAGTACTTGTTTCTAGATTTTTGTCATCCTTATTTTGGTTGTGTGAGGAGGCACAGTGTGTCTACCTACGCCTTCATTTTGGCCGGAAATCCAAAATTCTTAAGTTAAAGGTAAGGTGTGAGTATCATGGACAAATTTTTGGTTGTTAAAGCTATAGTGCAAGGGGCTAAAATCCCCGTGACAGTGGCCACCACAGCGGTCCTTGCGGTGACCCTCCCGTCCCCGTGCGGCCCCTCGTGGTGGCCGAGCCTGCCGGGACACGGATGTGCTCGTCCAGTCTCCCCGCGTCTCTTCAGCCGCGTCCTGAGCCTCCCTGCCGCCACTCACACCGCTCACAGGCACGTCTGACACCCATGGCACAGCGCTTCACACGGGTCCTGCGTGCCCTCTCCCGGTTTCACAACGCTGTGCTGCGGTGGCAGAGCTGATGGACGGTGCCACCTGGGCGAGCACGGATTCCGTGCGCACCTGACCTCCTCGGGTGAGGCGTCTTACGGACTGAATCAGTGGACAGACGCTGTGCGGGCTGTGACTGCCCGTCTCGTGAGATTGTCCGATTTCCCACCCCCCACCCCGGGCAGGGGGCCTGGAGGTGCAGCCCAGGTGGGCGCTCAGCTTGGGTTGCTTCCTCGGCCAGCCCGGCCCTGTAGGACCACAGAGGGGCCGCTGCTGGGCCAGAGGCCCGAGCCGGGACTCCATGCGAGCTGGGGCGAGCGCTCTCGCCTCCGTGGCCCTGTGATGTCTTTGTTGCCCCTACACCTCTTGCAAGAGGGGGCAGGGAGACGCAGAAGGCTCCCAGTCCCCACACTGGCTGTCCCCGGCCTCTCTGAGCTCTCGGGAACAGTGTCACCTGTGGGAATGGAAGACTGCTCTGAGAAAATGCTGTGCACGGAGAACAGTCTCTGCCTGAAACGAACAGAAGTTATGGCCATTCTGACCCCGGGGAGTCTGGTCTGCCAGCAGCTGGCTGCAGCAGGGGAGGAGTCCGGACGACCTCGGGAGAGGGCACGAGGGAGCGTGTGCTCAGAGTGTGCGCAGGGCACGTCTGCCGGCCAGCACCTTCCCCGGCCAGTGTCCTCCGGCCTCCCAGGCACAGAGGGGCCTTCCCCGGGGCCCTGGCCAATGACAAGGACCCCCAGGGTCCGGAGGGCGTCTCTTCTCCAGGGCGAACCTGACCCAGGACCGGGGGGGGGGGGGAGGTGGACACCCTGCCCGCCCCGGTCTGTGCGGCTGAGGGCTCCGGGGTCCTCAGCGCATCTAGAGTGAGGGGTCCCAGGGGAGGCCAAGGGTGCCCCGACCTGGTGACACGTGGTGCATGGAGGGGTCTCCGAGGGTCCCCAGGGCGGGTTCAGCCCTGGCCATGGCCCGCCCATCGCGGCCTGACCGAAGCTGGAGGGAATCCCCAGAAGCTGTGTCCCTGCCTCAGGCCCTTTCAGGGCGGGTCCTCGGACAGGCCCCTCCCCCGCCCCACCTGCTGGGGTTAGCGCCGACGGCACCTGTGTGACCCCATCTGTGTGACCCGCGCGAGGTGGCCTAACCTGGCGGCCTGTGCCCCTGCAGCCGGCAACGTGGACCTGGAGAGCCAAGCGGAGGGGAAGAAGGAGGCGGGAGCCGACGGCGCGCCGAGGAGCGGCCCCAGGCCCATCGTCCCGTACAGCTCCTTGTTCTGCCTGAGCCCCACCAACCTGTGAGTCTCCGTCCCCGCCCTCCCCGCGCGTCCGCGGCCCGGGGCCCACTCTCACCTGCGCCGCCGTGTGGCTGGGTGTGGCCTGGCGGGTGACGAGATTGCCGCGTGGGCTAGGCGTGTCACTCACACTCATCGTCCACGTGTCCCCTGCTCACCTGTCACAGCCGCCGCGCGTCTCTCACCCACTCCCCACGCACCTGCCCTCCTTAGTCCCGCCCGAGTTCAGGTGCCAGAGGGCCCGCTGGGCGGGGGCGGCGTGCGGGCAGGGGCGGAGCTGGGCAGCGGACACAGCGCAGGGTGCGGCTGCACCTTCGGTCAGGAGAGAGGCCAGGCAGAGGTGCGGAGACGCAGCGTCCTGCGACGGCAGGGCCGGCGGGGCCAGTGGGCCTGAGAAGGGGCGTGGCCCGGGTGTGGGTGGCAGGGTGGGGGCCGTGGTCAGTTCCCCTCAAGGGAGAGCGAAGCGGGTGGGTGCAGGCGATCCTTTCGGGTGGAAAGAGCTCGGGGACAGGAGTTGTCAGTGGCAGGAGGGGTCGCGGGCTGCAGGGCGGTGGTGCGCGGGTGGGGGCAGGCTGCAGAGGGAGCTCCGGGCACGTCTGGGCCGCAGCAGGGCAGGCGGCCTGCCCCGCGCTGCTGGCATGGCTGCTCCTTCTCGTCGCCCAGGTCCAGCTCACTGTCCTGGCAGAGGGGCCTTCCCTGACCCCCCGGCCGCCGTCCTCTGCTGGGTCACATCCTGTGTCGGCACCGAGCGTGCTGCCGCTGGCTCGTGGCCGCACTGTGTGCTGCTGTCCCGCCGAGCCCCGTGCCCAGGGCCCCGGACGTGCAGCCCCGTGGGCTCCGTGGAGCCGGGTGTGCGCGCGGCTGGCCCACGCGCTGCCGTCCACCGGCCCTGCCCCGGGTGCTGCGCCGCCCCGTCGCTCCTCCTGGGACGCCCTCTCAGGACTGTCGCCGTCTGTGACCTGCCTCCGCCTCCCGACACTTGGAGCTGAGCTTCTTGTCGGGGGCAGGGGGGGGGTGGTGGTGAATGGGGGGGGGCAGAGGAGGGGCCCAGCCGGCCCACCTGTGGGCCCTGGGTGAGCCGCGCTTTGTCCCCCAGGCTCCGCCGCTTCTGCCACTACATCGTGACCATGCGGTACTTCGAGATGGTCATCCTGGTGGTCATCGCCCTGAGCAGCATCGCCCTGGCCGCTGAGGACCCCGTGCGGACAGACTCGCCCAGGAACAACGTGCGTGCCCCTGCCGGCCGTGGGAGGCTGGGCGGAGCCAGGGGCCAGCCCCTCGTCACGGACGGGGGCGGGGGGGACGGGGGGGCGCAGACGTGCCCGAGGTGGGAGCCGGGGCCGTGGCGGAGGTCCCCCGGCCCCGGGCGGTCCACCCCGAGGTCTGCGGGGACCCAGAGCCCCCACAACGGCCCTGGCTCCGGCATCGGGCCCCTTTGAGAACCACCCCCTTTCGGTGGCAGGTCCTGAAGTACCTGGACTACATTTTCACGGGCGTGTTCACCTTCGAGATGGTGATAAAGGTGAGTGACCCGGAGCCCCGACCCCCGTTGCCCTCGCTCGCGGAGCCTCCCTGAAGGCGTGAGGTGGGTGTGCCCCCGCACGTGCACGCACAGGAGCCGGGAGGCCGCCCTGCCCCGGGGACTCAGCATCGGTCAGCCCCGGTGGAGCCGCCCTGCCCGGCCCGTGGCACCGCCGCCTCCGCCGCCTGTGCAGAGGGCCCGGGGGCCGTGGGGAACGCGTTCCACCGCGAGCTCCGCTTTGGGTGCCGGTGGTGACGGGCATGCCCCCCCCCCGTCGGTGGGTGTCCGACAAGTGGCCGGTGCGCGCACAGGCGTGTGTACACGGGCGTGTGTTCAGTGCGGGCCGGTGCGCACCTGTCTGTCCCAGTGCAGGGCAGCTCAGTGTGGGCCGTGCGGGCCACTCGGGTGGCTTTGCCTCCGTGCGTGCCCCCGTGTCCCCTCTGCCCCCCCACTTACCCCGGGGAGGTGCTGTCACCCCGTCCGCAGATGAGGAGGCCTCGGCTTAGAGACAGGAGGGTGCTTGCGGCAGTCGGGCTGTCGGATGGGCAGGCCCCGCTCCTGCGGCTGGGCCCGGGCCCCGTCTCAGCCAGCCGCGACCGTGCAGGGCTGTCTGGGGTCGATGTCACTGAGCTCCCAAGGCCCGTCAGACCCTCAGGGCAGGTCTGAGCCGTGGCCTTTCCCGTGGCAGGACATGGCCTGGGCCGTGGCCCCGCCCCCCGGGGAGGGTGTCGCCCAGAGCGGCGTTCTTCCCTCCAAACCCCTGACTCTGGGCTCTGGCTGTGCCCTTTCTTCTGGAAAGTCCTGCCCCCTAAACTGTGTTTCTCCCCCGAAGATGATTGATTTGGGGCTGCTGCTGCACCCGGGGGCCTACTTCCGGGACCTGTGGAACATTCTGGACTTCATTGTGGTCAGTGGGGCCCTGGTGGCGTTCGCCTTCTCGTAAGTACACACCTCTGCTCTGGACCTGCCCGGCCACAGCCCCTGGGAGCGTGACAGGGTTTGGGGGCACCGCTGGCCTCCAGGGCGTCTGCCACTCCACCCCTGTCTGCTTCGGCCCGGGCCCTGTGTGGTGGGGGGGCCCCAAGCCCCACGTGTCCCTGACGCGGCCCCTGGCTCTCAGGCGGGGCGGGCGGGTCTCGGGCTCGTTTGTTCTCTGGTGTCAGCGGCGTTCCCTACCCCACCTGCAGCGGCCAGGGCTGGGGGTGCTGGTGGGCGCCGCCCCCCTTGGGGCTCTAGGCTGTGTCCTCTGGTTCCCTGCTGTGCTGGGGCTGTGTGGCGGTGGGCTGAGGCCGGTGCGGAGGCCCGGTGGGGCGGGGGTCACGCCGGGAAGAGGTGGCGTGTGGTGCAGAGATCAGGGTGCCCGGGAGATCAGGGTGCCCGGGAGACGCGGGTGCCGAGGGGCAGGGCTCCCTCTCCTCTGCCCCCGGCCGGACTCCTCACTGACTCTTTTCTCTTTGTCTCCTGTTGCTGGACTCCCGGTAGGAGCTTCATGGGGTAATGCCTCCCCTCCTCCCACCCACACTGCCCACATCACAGCTGCCCCTTGGGCCGCAGCATCACCTCCTCACCTCCGCTCATCCGCCTCCACCTTCCTCTCCACCTTCCGGGCTGCATGCTGCCAGAGCCGCGTCCCCGGGCACCCCCATGTCCCCACCTCGTGGGGGGGCAGTCCCTGGTGAGGTGTGGGGAGCAGGCTGTCCGAGCGAGTCTGCAGGCCGGGCACGAGGGCCCGTGGGCAGCTCTGGGTGGACAGCTGGCGTGTGAGCAGGGGCAGCGGACGCCAGACGGGTCTTCCCGCGTCTGCTCCCAGACACGTGGCTCCTTCCCCCTGTTCTCCGGACCGAGGACTGCTTCCGGGCAAGGCCCGCCCCCCACCCCCACCCCGAGGGCTTGCCTGCCCTCTCTCCCTGTGGAGGGGCTGCCAGCTCGGCCAGGGTCGGGCCGTGGAGTGAAGGGAGGGCAGAGGCCGGGCTGAGCCAGGCGGCCTCGGAGCAGGAGCAGGAGCTGAGCTGGGGCAGGGAGGCGTGGCCTCTGGCCCTTGGGAGCGCAGCCCGCCCCGCCCCGGGGCTGCTGCTGTGGGCGCGTCCCCACCTCGGGAGCCGGACGGGGTCTCCCTCCCCTGCGGCCCTGCGGCGCCGGCTGTCCTGGGGACCGGCTCTCCCGCCCCTCTTCCCTGCGCCGGCCTCGGCAGGAGGCTGGGGGGTGGGTTTGGGGAGATTGTTAGGACGCTGGGGTGACGGAGGAAGCCGACCGGCGCTCAGAGGCTGGGGTGTCCCGCCTGGGAGGTGGGCGCTTCTGGGGGCGTGCGATGGGACTGTGGAGGCCCCGCCGCTCCCCAGGGACTGGTGGGGGGCTGCATCGCCTGGGAGCCCCGCGCCCACGGAGCCTGCCTGGGCCTTGCAGCTCGCTCCCCCCAGAGCTCGGCTGGAGCCTGAGGACACAGGGGACCCCACCTCCCCCATGGGCAGGTCCCTGGACTTGGGGAGAAGGGGTCTCTGGGCACCATGTGTTGGGGCCTCACGTCCTGAGCCTTCCACCACGGCCCACGCCTCCCGGGTCTTGACCTGCTTCTGGGGATGGCCTCCTGCCCCTCCCTCTCCTCCTGGGCCTGACATCACGTGGAGGAGCATCAGGCACGGCAAAGAGGACAGGCGGGGAGGTCAGGCCCTTGCAGGCTCCCGCCAGCCCGCTCCCTCTCCCTCCCACACTCAGGCAGAAGCTGGTTTGGGGGCCAGAGTGTCTGGGGCAGCAGGTTCCGCCCGTCAGGGGGCCCCCCACCCCCGCCGTGCCACTGACCTGGCCCTCGTCCACTCAGAGGAGGCCTCCATGGTGCCTGCACGGCCAGGGCCTCCGTGCCCTCGGTCCTCTGCCCCGGGGAGTGCAGCCCGGGCCCCGGTGGCTTCGTGGGGACGGACGCGGGGTGCAGCCTGCCGTCTGCATGTGTGGCTCTCCTTCTAGAGGATCCAAAGGGAAGGACATCAACACCATCAAGTCCCTGCGCGTCCTGCGTGTCCTGCGGCCCCTTAAGACCATCAAGCGGCTGCCTAAGCTCAAGGTGGGGGCCTGGAGTCAGGGCTCTAGAAGTGTGGGGGTCGTCCTCATGTGTCCAGTGTGCACGCACATGTGAGCATGCATGTGTGTGTGCTGTGTGTGCACGGACATTTATGCACACGTAACTGGCCCTGTCCTGCTGTGGCTTCTGTGGGGGTGGGGGTGCACAGAGCTGAGGGGCCCCCACGCTGGGCTTCCTCAGACCATGCCTGGCGTCAGTGGGGCGGACCCTCCGCTCCCTGGCCCTTCCCGCAGGAGGGCTGATGCCCAGCAGTGACCTGTGGGCTCCGCTTCCCATCCTGCGGCACAGGTGGGGCAATGTTTCATCCGGCTGCTGTGTCGGGGAGGCGGAGGGCCCTGGGGCCCTGGAGCGGTTGTGGGCTGGCCCTGCAGGGTGGGTGTGGCTGAGGTTCCGGGTGAAGGGAGGGGTGTGCGCCAGCACTCAGGGTCCTCCGCCCTTGGGCCCGGCCCGTGGGGGGTGCTCTCGGTACTTGCAGCCCTTTAACCCCCTGCAGTGTCTGCAGTCAGGGGTTCGGGTGGCGCGGGGTGCTGGCCTCGGGGACAGAGGCGACACGGCCAGAGGCCCATTGCCCAGAGCCTGCATGGGGGTGGCAGGGGCCCACAACGCTGTGCGGGCGGCTGTGGCTGTGCTGTCTCGGCAGGCGGCTGGGCATCTGCCGTTCTGCGCCCGAGGTGGGATGGGGTGTCTGCTGGCTCAGAGAAGCTGGGGCCAGGGCTGCGTCCGTGGGACAGGGAGGGCAGGGCTCCCAGGTGGGGGAGGGGCTGAGAGGAAGCCTGCCCGGCACCGATGGCAGGGCCCGCCCAGCGCGGCCCGAGTGGAGCTGCCGCAGCATGGCCGCTGTCCGGCCCCCGCGTGTCCCCTGGGGCAGGAGCCGAGCCCGGCCCCTGGGAGGCCTGGGAGCAGGACTGGGGGCTGGCCGTGTCCCATCCCTGCTGCCGTCCCTCTGGTCCAGCCCCTCCTGACTCAGGCCAGCCAGGCCCCGGGCTGTGCCTGCTCTGTGGCCCACCTGCCCCGGACACCTCTCCTGCAACGCCGGCCCACACTGTCGCACCCAAGGTGACCCTCTCTCCTGAGAGGGAGGACAGCCGGCGCCCTGGCGGTCACGGCCTCAGGGACACTCGGGGTCTTGCCGCGCCTGGGCCCGTGGAGGCCCTGAGCCCATGGGTGCTCCCCACCCCCGCAGGCCGTGTTCGACTGCGTGGTGAACTCCCTGAGGAACGTGCTCAACATCCTCATCGTGTACATGCTCTTCATGTTCATCTTCGCCGTCATCGCCGTGCAGCTGTTCAAGGGCAAGTTCTTCTACTGCACGGACGAGTCCAAGGAGCTGGAGCGGGACTGCAGGTACCGGGGCCCCCGGGCCAGGGACCACCCTCGTCCGGGGGACGCTGGGGGGCTGCTCGAGGGCTCTGTGCACGCGGGAGGCCTGGGCTGGCCCTGAGGTCAGCAGGGTGCCTGACGGCATGGCCGCAGCCGCTGTTGCGTCCTGGGCCCGGCCCCGCTGCAGCACAAGGAGGCACCGTCGGGGTCTGTGGAGCAGAGGCGGGCCAGCTGCTTCCTCGCCCACGGCGAGGGTCCCGCTGTCCTTTCCTGCTGCGCCCGACGGGCTCGGGGGTGGTTCCCGTGTGAGGCCGCATGAGCAGCGCTGGGCCCCGAGGGCCACCCAGGTGTGCATGCCGGCGGTGGGCTGTGCGTGTCACCTCTTGCGGGGGCTGCCTCGTCTCCGAGGAAAACTTAGTCCCACCAGCGTGGAAGGAGTCCTGGGGTTCGTTTCTTCCTACCTTCCTGGGGAGGGGTCGGGGTGTCGCCCCCGGGCGACGCCTTTGCCCAGGTGGACCTGCCGCTGGTGTGGCCCGTCCCCGGGGCGTGTCTGTGCTGGCCGCTGCCCTTCGCTCTGTGCACACCACCTGCTGCTCCTTCAGGGTTGGGGCAGGCTCTTCGGACAGGCGTGTGGCTGCGGCTGTGGGGCCTGCGGCTCTGCCTCCGGCGTCTCTGACAGGCCAGGCGCCCGCGGGGTCGGTCTGACTTCCACTCCTCACCTGCAGGACTCCGCCCCGGGTAAGAAACCCACCCCGAGGGCGGGCGGGGCCTCTTGTGTGCGCCCCTGGCAGTTGTGCCTCTGCCTTTCGCCTTTCGAGTGGCGACCGGCCTGGAGATGAGCCTTCTGACCACGGAATCCCCTGGGGCCCAGCACTGTGTATTCGAAAAGACCAGGATTCTTTGTTTCTTCATAAAAATAGCCACTGAGATATAATTCGTATACCGTCGAAGTCATCCGCTGAAAGTGTGCAATTTGCGGGTTTCAGAACGTTCACAGACACTTGGGCCGTCTCCACGGTCCATCCGAGACGCTCGTCCTCTGGAGCCGCAGCGAGCCCACCCCGCCCGGAGTGGGCCCTGCCCCCACGCCAGCCCTCAGCAGCCGTGGCTGAGGGCCGTACTCTGTCTCCGTGGCTTTCTGTCCCGGACACGTCGGAGTCGTGACGCCCCAGCGTGTGTGGTTCGTGTGTCCCCGAGGCCGTCCCAGGCAGTGGACAGGCGCCGGTCCGTGTGGACCGAGGGGGCTGTTGCGTCTTTGGAGCGGATGCTTGCTCGGGGAGAGGTGGCCGGCCCCGTGGCCACTCCGTCGGCCCGTCGGGCCCGTCTCAGGCAGGGCCGGGCTGTTTCCCGCAGTGGCCGGGGTGCCGGCGCCCCCCAGCAGCCTGCGAGGGTCCTGCTGTGCCCAGGTCTTCGCCAGTACTCGCTCTTTTCCTTCTTCAAAGTTCCACGGCGGCCGGCCCGGCGGGTCGAGGTGGCAGCTCTGTGGTTCTGACGTGCGCCCCCTCGTGAGCAGTCCTGCGGGGCGTCTGTCCCCCGCCCGTCGGCCGTCTGTCTGTCTGTCTGTCGTCTTTGGGGAGACGTTTTCTCGGGCCCTCGGCCCGGCTTTCTCCGAGGCGGCCATGGCGGTTCTTTCTGTGCTCCGGACACGGCTCCCTCGGAGGGCCGGCGACCTCCGGCCGTTCCGCCCCGTTCGGCATCCCGGGTGTCCCCACCCACCGCCGTTCGGCGTCCCGGGTGTCGTCCCCCCCCCACCCCCGTTCGGCGTCCCGGGCGTCCCCCGAGCACCCGAGCGTGGTCGAGAGCGCCCCGTGCGTCCGGTGCACTGCTGTCGCTCCCGGTGCCGGTGTGGTGTCTGGGGGTCCGCCCGCAGGCTGGAGGCCTGTGTTTTCCCCCGGGACCGTCGCGGGTTTGGCGCGCGCGTGCAGGCCTCGCGGGCCCTGGGGTTGGTTCTGGGGTGCGGCGTGGGCCGCGGGTCCCACGTCACTCTTCTGTGCGTCCACACCCAGTTGTCCCAGCGCCGCCTGTCGGGGGAGACTTCTCTTTCTCCGCCGAGTGGACAGCACTCCCCAGAAATCATTTCACTGTCGACGCACAGGTTTGCCTGGACCCCGTCGTAACCTCTGACCTCCCCGTGTCCCCCCCAGGGGCCAGTACCTGGATTACGAGCGGGAGGAGGTGGAGGCGCAGCCGCGGCAGTGGAGGAAATACGACTTCCACTACGACAACGTGCTCTGGGCCCTGCTCACCCTGTTCACGGTGTCCACGGGGGAGGGCTGGCCCGTGTGAGTGCTCGTCCGCGCATCGGGCTGGCCCGCAGGGCTGGGGGGCTGGGGATGGCGGGCAGGGCCGGCTCTGCGTGGCTTTGGCCGTTCACAGCGCCGGAAGCTCTGGCTCCAGCCAGGCGAGGTGCGGCCCCGCCCTGAGGCCGTCCGACCTCGGAGTCCAGTGTGGCGACCTGGAAGTCTTTCTGAGCTGCTGGAGGCCGAGGGGGGATGGGCTGCCGTCAGGTAGCTAGAGGGCTGTGGGAGTTCGGAGCCACACTGAGTCGCAGGGAGGCAGGATGGGTGCTCAGGCAGGAGGCTCCCTGCCCAGCCCTGGGGTGCTGGAGCAGCTGCACCCGGACGTGTGTGCGGGCTGAGGGTGAGCGGGTGTGAGCGGGTGAGCCTGGTGGGGCGGGGCAGGGTGGAATGCTGGGTGGGACCTCGGCCTGTGGAGTCCGCCCCCCGAGGGTCTCCGACAGCCCTGCTGCCAGCCCTGAGGGAAGTGGCCCGGCTCCAGTGAGACGGCGCCTGGGGCAGGGGCCCGGGCCCCCGTGTGGCAGGGCCGTCCGTGGGCTCCGGCGTGGGAGCCGCAGCGGGCGCCAGTCCCGACCCGCTCAGGGCTGTGGGCCGTGGGTGCCCTGACGCTGGTGCTTGTCCCGGCCCAGGGTGCTGAAACACTCCGTGGACGCCACCTACGAGGAGCAGGGCCCGAGCCCCGGGTACCGCATGGAGCTGTCCATCTTCTACGTGGTGTACTTTGTGGTCTTCCCCTTCTTCTTTGTCAACATCTTCGTGGCCTTGATCATCATCACCTTCCAGGAGCAGGGGGACAAGGTGATGTCCGAGTGCAGCCTGGAGAAGAACGAGGTGAGCGCTCCCCCCCACCCCCCACCCGTCTGCGCGTGCGCCGCCGGCTGAGGCTCGGCCAGGCCCTGGGGGGGAGGGGCGGGGGGGACACAGATGGGACGGCGCTCGGGCCCCTCTGTGTGCGCCCCTGCCGGCCCCGCCCCGCACGGCCAGGCAGGCTGGGGGGTGGCGGGGCCCCCGGAGGAGGCTGAGCTGCAGGCGCGCTCTTCCCGAGCAGAGAGCCTGCATCGACTTCGCCATCAGCGCCAAGCCCCTGACGCGGCACATGCCCCAGAGCAAGCAGTCCTTCCAGTACAAGACGTGGACGTTTGTGGTCTCGCCGCCCTTCGAGTACTTCATCATGGCCATGATCGCCCTCAACACCGTGGTGCTGATGATGAAGGTGCGTCCTCGCGGGGGGCGGGGCTGCGGGGCTCCCGGCCTGGTCAGCGTGCGGCCCGTCCGTCCGTCCGTCCCGGCCCCGCAGTGGGAGTGCATGAGGCACGGGGACGGGTGTCCCTGGCTGGGAGGTGCTCGGACGGGAGCCACGGGGGTCCCCGAGCCCAGGGCCCACGGCTCCCGTTCCGGGCAGTTCTACGACGCGCCGGAGGAGTACGAGCTGATGCTGAAGTGCCTGAACATGGTGTTCACGTCCATGTTCTCCATGGAGTGCGTGCTGAAGATCATCGCCTTCGGGGTGCTGGTACGTGTCTGGGCCCCCCGGCCACGCTGCCTGCGTCCGGCTGCCCTCTGCAGAGGGCCTCAGGGGCTCCGAGCCTGCAGCCGGGGTTCCCTGGGCCCCAGAGCACACGTGACGTGGCAGAGGCCCGCTCCCGACTCTGCCCCTGCCCCGCTCCTGGGGGCAGGGGGCACGGGGGGGTCTGCGTGGTGCCTGGCCTGGCACTGTCCCCCCAGCGCGGGCCAGGGGTCCCCTTGCCCCTTCTCGACCAGGGCCCCTCCGGGCACCCTTCCTGGCGGAGCCCTCACTGCCTTTCTTTCTCTCCAGAACTATTTCCGAGATGCCTGGAACGTCTTTGACTTTGTGACTGTGTTGGGAAGTATTACTGATATTTTAGTAACGGAGATTGCGGTAAGTAGCATTTCTCGACCCCACTCCAGGGCCCCAGAGCGGTTTCCTCTCGGAGGGCGGCCCCTCCTCCGGGCAAGCGCTCCCCGGAGCCTGGGCCGTGGGCTCCCCGCCACAGACACAGTCGGGGGACTCGGTGTCTCGCAGAAAACGCTCCTTCCGGGTGAGACGACATTCCCGAAGCACCTGCCGGGCTGGCAGCGGCGGCTTGCGGTGACCGCCGGCTGGGGAGGCCAGCACCCTTCAAATCTGTGTGCGTCTAACAACTCGGCACCGAAGGCGTACAGACTGGGACCGATGAGGACTTAGAGGGTTTCACTGCAGCTCCGCTTTACAGGCGAGAGTGGTGGTGAGGCCTTGCCACACGCACGTGAGTCGCGCACAGGCACGGACGCTGGCTGGCGTGGCCGGGTTTCGAAGGGCCTGAGCCGTGCGCCCGCGCGCTGAGTGTAGCACACGACGCCGGGGTTAAACAGCAGCGCGCCTGCCTTCCCGGGCCGGCTCTCCGGGAGCGGACACGGGGGCGGGAGGTTCGCTCGCTGGGGTCAGCTCGCAGGCATGTTCCAGCAAAACTGGCACAGGGAGGGTTGGGGGATGAGGAGGGGAGGCGTCGTTGGGGGCTGAGACCGGGTGGGTCCCAGCTCAGAGCTGGGAGCCCTGACTTCTGTGCCCCAAGTCCTCGGTCGAGGGCTGTGTCTGAGGGCTCAGTCCTCAGGCACCAGTAGGAAGGGGCTCCCGCAACCCCAGTTCTGGCGGGGAGGGACAGCAGGTGTCACCCTCGTGAGGCCACACAAGGGCAGGGACATCTGTGTGCCAACCTGGCCTGCTCCGCTCTGCCCAGGCCTCACGTGGTGTCCACCTCAGTCATCTTCCCAGGTGGGGCCGGTCACCCCCTCGGAGGAGAGGGCTGGGGTGAGCGGATGTCTGTCACCGCTGTCCTCCTGCGCCCCTTCAGGCGTCCCCTGACCTGGGGCCAGGCTCCCAGTGGTCTGGGGAGGGGACTGGGCCCTCCCCGGCCCGCTGTGCGCCCGGGCAGCTCCAGCTGCCACCCTGGTTCCATCGTGGTCACGGGCCGTCCCGGAGCGTCCAGAGAGGCCCAGGGAGCCCAGACCTGCCAAGGATGGCCGCGCTGGCCCGCGTGGGCGCCCGGCTCTGCCTGCTGGTCCCCGGCCTGGAGAGCCGGGGAGACGGGCTCCGAGCTCACTGCGCACAGCGTGCTCCCGCCCCCGGGCCAGGGCCTCCGGGTCCCCAACACCAAAACCTGTGGGGTGCTGGGAAGCGCCCCTGGGTCCCTTGGGGACGTGGGCAGGGCGACCTCTGGGTCCAGCCTGTTCCCTGCCTGAACCACGTGTGTCTTCACCCGGATGCCCAGCACCGACGTGGCCACTGGTTTGTGCGGAAGGATGGGAGGCACGCTGCCGAGCTAGCACTCCATCCGTCCTCCTGAGTGACGGGCAGCGTGCCACGCGGCGGGTCCTGTGGTCGCTGTCCTGTGCTCGCCCTCGGCTGTTCAGGGTCCCTGTTGTGTGGGACCCGGGCCGGTGTGGCTGACACGAGCGCCGGGCCGAGGCGGGTCACAGCTGTGCAGGGTGGAGGGTCCCGATCAGGCAGCTCACCCCTGCGGTGCAGGTTGGCAGCCCCAGGCTCACATGCAGAGTCCTCGTGGACCTCCACCCACAGCAGCCGCGTGTGCTGCCCGGACTGCAGCCACTGAGCCTTGCTAGACAGAGCCCAGCTGCTGGCCTTTGCGGTCGGTCCCCCGTGGGCCCCCGGGAGCACTGGGCTGCAGATGCCTGTTGGCATCGGGGCCCTGCAGCCCGAGCCCTTGGCGGGGCGTCTGTGTGTGCACAGACCTGCTCGGGTTGGTCTGGAGGCCTCCTCCCCATGCCTGGGGCCCTAACCCCGGGCAGCTTGCTTCTCCACACGCCATGGCCGCCTAGGCCCAGCACCCAGAGCACTGCCGTCTGTGCCGTGGGTTCTTGTGGGGCCTGCACCCACGAGTCCGATCAGCCCCTCCCTGAATCCGGTTTCCAGGAGGATCACTGGAGGTGCGGGGGGCGGGGGGATGAGTGAGGAAGGGGTGCCAGGTGTGGGGGGTGGGCCAGCGGTGTTGGACTGAGCCCTGTGTCCTGCTGGGGTCCCGTCCTGAGTGTGGCGCCTGCACGGTGCCTGGGCTGTGCTCAGGAGGACAGGCTGCGGTGCCACGGACACGCGGTCTCATGGGCAGACGGTCGCCAGGCCGGCAGGGGCGGCTCCCTCACTGGGGACACAGCCTTGCTCCAGAATTGCAGGCGTCTGTAGGACTGTTCCCCGGGCCCCTGCAGTGTCTCTGTCCACCGCAGCCTCGCACGGGGCCGCTGCGTCTGCGTGCCAGCGCCACTCACAGTGCTGGCCAGCTCGTATTGCACGTCCCCCCCCCCAGATGTAAGGAGAGACCCCCCAGTCCCGCACAGGTTTCTGCAGAGAACAGGACATGGGGCGCGCTCCCTGTTTGCACGCGGCTGATTTAAACAGAGTGAGAAGGGAGGGCTGTGGCCCACGCCCCCGGGTCACGCCGACGTGGAATTCCAACCCACACTCTGCGAACCGGCCCACCTTCCGGGGAGAGAGGACAGGCTCGCCCCGGACACGGGGCCCTGCCTCAGAGTTGCGGCTGAGCCGGCTGCTAATGTGGTCCCGTCGTGGCTGCCGAGGAGACGCCCAACTGAGTACAGAATTTATTCACGGTGAAAAGCACTAGCAACTTAGGAATCATTAAGTTGGCAAAGAGCAGCTACCAAGGTCTCCACGCAAACACTGTCTGCAACGGCAAAGCTTGGAGAGAACGTCCTCCTGAGCCGGAAGGGGATGGTGAGGGCTGTGAGCAGCCCTTCTCGTCGGCGCTGCAGCCCGGGCCCCGGCCAGCCCAGAGAGGGAGCGCCCGGGCTCGGCTGTCTGGCTCCCCGCTTGGGGTCGCGCCTGCCACGCCGTGGGTGTCCCGTGAACCCTCGTGCCGTGAGCAGACGGGAAGGAGAGGAAACGCCGCCCGGGCAGAGAAGCCGAGGCGGCGCATCACTTCACGCTCCAGGGCCGAAGCCCAGAGTCGCGGGAGGCCGAGGCGAGGCGCAGGAAGCCTGCCGACCACGCGGCGGCGGAGCAAGGCAGCTGCACTCACCGTCTCGGCGTCCAGACGGCAGACCAGCGTGGAAGACGACTGAGCTTCATTGGAAGAGAGCAAGGAGACTTAAACAGATGGAGTTATTTACGTTAATTAGTAAGTAGTGTCTGTTTCAGAGAGATGACAGTTTCCCCCACGTGGACCTACAGATTCAAGGCAATTTCCATCAGAATACCAGTGATTTTGTCTGTCTGTCTGTTTTGGAACTTGACGAGCTGCTTCTAAAATTTATAAGAAGGAGCAGAAGCCCCCACATCGAGATGCCGAAGAAGGAGAAGGTGCCACTGGGGGCGTGGGAGGCGGCTGCTCCCGCCACAAAGTGACAGGAAGCTGCGCTGCGGGCCTGGGAGGAGCTGAGCTGGGGTCAGAGCCCAGCTCGTGTGGAGCTCAGTGGGACCCGTGGTTGACGTGGGGAAGTGGACGTCGGGTCTCGGCTCACACTGGTCCCAAAAAATCTACTTCAGGTGGATGATAAGGCTGAAGTATAAGAAGCAGGTCTTTAAAACTCTTAGAGGAAAGCACAGAGAATATCTTTAAGCCCTTGGGATATGGACTGATTTGTAAGCACCAGCCAAAACTGGAAGCAGGAACTGCAGTGAAGAGCTTCTGTAGATCGCGAGGAGGAAGGGCGGTCCGTGAGCAGGGGGACACCGGCCTCCCGTCCCTTCATTTTCACCTTTCCAAGCGGTGTCGAGGCGCCGGCATGTGTCGGAGGTCAGCACCTCCGCCCTTCTTGAGCCTCATTCTTGTGGGAGGCGCCGGAGAGGCATGGGGTGGGGGGCTTTGACAGTGCGTCCGGACAGGACGTCACTGGGGTGGCGACTTCCGACTGCAGGCTCCTGGGCTTGTGAGGGAGCCGAGCAGGGAGACCCGTGCAAAGACACACGGAGCCTGAGGCTGCGCCGGGGGGAGGACGGTGGGCCGGGAGGGCCTTGCAGTGGGTCCCGCCGGGTTTGCCAGTGGCCGGGTGTTTTCCCGGCGGCTGTCTGCCACTGGTTGGCGCTGCTGGGGCGAGGGGGCCCGTGTCCTGGCCTGGGGACTGTCTCGGGGGAAGACGGGGGTGCTGGCGGTGGGTGTGGGTGCAGTCCAGCGCAGCAGAGGAGCAGGGCTGACTGGTGGTCAGGCTCACAGCTGCCCATGGACAGGGAGGGGCGTGAAGCTGAGGCAAGAGTGACCGGCCTCAGTCTGAGCACTCGGAAGGATGGCCCACTGTGAGCTGAGACGGGAAGCAGTGAGGTGACACAGGTGTGATCTGACTTCTGAAAGGCGGCTGGATGGGGGGCCTGGCGCTTGGCGGGGGTCCAGGCCGGTGACAAGGTCGGGGGCTATGCGCGTGCAGGTGGTGTCAGAGCGGTGAGGTCGGTCGGGGCAGCTGAGTTCCAGGTGCCACAGCGTGTGGGGACAGAGGCTTGGCCAGAGGGCACAGGCTTCTGGAACTGTGGGGGCCGCGGTGAGTGTCCAGAGTGCGCCAGGCTCTTCCGGGAGCCAACAGGAGACACACCCAAGTGTGAAGGTGGCAAGTGGCCTGAGTGGGATTTTACAGAAAAACAAATGACCAGTTGGCATAGGAGGAGATGCTCAGCATCGTCTGTAGCCAAAGAACTACGCAGTGAAACGGCACGGAGATGCTGGTCTGTCAGAGCGAAGCCTCACAGTGCCCCTGCCGGCGTGAGTGCTGCCGGGCGCCGGCTGGCCGGGGCCACGTCCGTGCACGTGGCGATGGGCGCACACGCGAGCTAAGGGCAGTAGCAGGGCTTCTGCTCACAGTCCACGCACAGGCAGCCCACGTCCAAGGGGTGCTCAGGGCATGGTCCCAGCACCAAGGTCAAGGATGGTCAAGGAGACCCATTTCAAGAGTTCGTGGTAAAACAATAAAGACAGACGGCTGTTCTCGAGAATTAAGGGCAAGTACTCGACCGGGCAGGAGGGAGGGAGACAGCAAGGGCCACAGAAACGACGGTCAGGTCGTCCCCTAAGCCAGGTGATGAGTATGTGGATATCTTACCACCTTTCTTCTAACTGTGTGTACCTATCTATGTACAGTCTTTTCTATGGGGTACGTTTCAGGGCTTTTAAAATCGAATGATCTGAATAATCCAGGCAAAAAGCTGAAAGCCGCCATTTACTCCAAAAAAAAATCAGGGTTGTTCCCAGCCTGCGGCGCTGTGGCCTTGCCCAGAGGCTGTGCCTTCCCGGCGCTCCTCACGGGACAGCTGGCCCCCAGTGAAGGGACGCAGACACCGAGCTCCCACCTGCGTGGATGCCACTCTGGGGGCTTCTGTGCCTGTGTGTCCTCGCCAGAGGGGGCGGCGCCGGAGGGTCTCAAGGGAGAGGCAGGCAGGGTACCCGGCCCCCCGCGTAGACCGGAAACCGCCCCCAGAGAGACCTGCAGCGGGTGCCTGGGAGCCCAGCGCCTGTCCCTCAGCAGCCGGACACTCGAAGCCCAGGTGGCTGGTGGTCACTCTGGAGGCCCCGCAGGGCTGGTGGGCGGGCCGAGAGGTTGGGCGGTGTGCAAGCTCCCTGCCCTCACCGGCGCGGGCGCGGGACCTCTCACCCCTCGCTCGGCAGAGGAAAAAGGCAGAGGGAAGCCGTCCTGCGGGTTCGTGGTGTTTCCCCCCATCTGTAGTCACTTCATACATCACTCGGCGAGTGCACTCTTTTTTTCCTTTGGCAAAAACATGAGTGTCAGTCCCCACCCCCGACTGAAAAGCACGCTGGAGCAGCAGTCCCAGCCAGGGTCAAGTGGAGGAAGCACTCCTAGCCCAAAACTGACACTGATTTCTTTGCCTGGAAATAAATCAGTGCCTGTGCCTCATTCCGAATTTGCATTACAAACAGGAATGCAAATGAGCACCTCTGTCTGCAGAACTCACGGAGTCCAAAGCTCTGCTTTGGTGCATTTTAAGGAAAATACCCAGTTTACCAAAATGCTAGAATTTTCCAGTGAAGTATTCGGAGTTTCGGTTTTGCTTGTGTTGATGACTCATTTTCTCCTTGTTTTCTGTTTTTTGTTCTTGACTCACCCTAACCTACCTGCTGACTCACGCCACCCAACCAACACACACTGCGAACACCGTGTCTCCGTCTGCATGTCGCGCCTGCTGCTCGAACGCCCCAATTTGTAAATAATGCGCAAACATCCATCCATGAAAACATCACACATAGGAAACGGTTGGTCTCCTGACTCTAACGGTTCTTAAGTCTCCTTGCTTCGCTTGCTCTGCCTGGCTGTGTCCCAAGAGCCCTCGGGCGTGTGGTCAGAGCCGGCTGCACTCATCCTGGCCGCATGCACGGTCCCCAGGGGCTTCCCGGCTGGGACGGTTCTTCCTGCGGGGATCCGCTCAGAGCTGGGGAGGCTTCACAGGATGTGAGTCTGGACCTGCTCCCCACAGAGTCCATGGTTTCTGTTGCCGGCTCCACTGGCAGATGCAGAAGGTTCTGTCTGCCCAGGGCCTCTGACCAAGTCTCCCTGGTCTCCTTCCTGCAGACCCTCCCATACCGGGTCAGCCTGGGGCCAGGGCTGGGCACTGAGGCCCTGTGTCGGTGACTCAGGAGGTCATGTAAGTCCTGGCTGTGGAGAAAGAGGGCCTGTCCCTGGACACTTCGGAGCGCAGGGCTCGCTGCGGAGCATGTGTGAGCTCTTGGTCGCTGAGCTGGGGGACCCCGGGGGCTGACCTCGGGCCTCCACCAGGTCTGTAGGAACATCGAGAGGAGAGCAGGGTCGGGGGACAGACCGCGCCCAGGCTGCACCTGGAAAGTCAAATGGAGTAGCAAGTTCACAGTGCCCACCACAGAAAGTGGATGTTTCTGGGAAAGCGTGTCCCGACCGGATGGAAAGTCAGCTTGGAGAATGACAGCTGATGCTGCCCAGGCTCCGACGAGGGCCGCTTAGCACCCCCCTCGCGGTGGTGGGCACGTGGGTCTGGGCACAGAGTCTCTTTCCCTGTCGGCCCCCTCAAGAGCGACTGAGCAGGAGAGGGGCTTCCGCACATGGCCGACCTCGCCCCGGCACACCTGCTCGGGTCTCAGGGGGCCCCGATTGGCTGTGACCTTGATTGGAAGCAGTGATATGCTTGGACCTGGGGGACACCGGCGTTCTGGGGTTAGCCCATCACCTTGTGGGGTGTTTCACAGCCCCGTGGGCTATTAAGCCCCATTTTCAGTGACCCCTCCCTACCTGGGCAGGGGACCCCTGTGTGGGTCCACCACATCCACCACATTGAGGGGGCGAAGAGGCGCCCTGCAGTTCTCCAGGCCTTTGCCGACCTGGGTGGGCGCAGTAAGCCAGGGTCTGGCTTTGAAGTAGGTGCGGCTGCTCCCGGGTATCACAGAAGCCATGGACTCTGGGGCCAGGGCAGGTGTGTCCACCTCCGGGGGGCGGGGCTGAGGCCAGAGGAGACCGTGCACAGCTGTGGGGAGGCTGTCGTTTGCTGCCCCACCCTGCATGCAGCTACCCTACCTCCCACCTCTCATGCCGTGCTTGGAGCATCTGTGTGCTCTCACCGTCTGTCCTCATGGCTCTCCAGGGCTGTCTGTCTGTTGCCACCTCACCCCTCTCCTGAGTGCCCCCTGAGCCCCAAGAAAGAAGCCTGGGTGGGGGTGGGAGCTAGTGGAATGGACAAGCCCCTGCCTCCTCAGCACGTAGCCTGCCTTCTCACCCTGGAGTCAGCATCGCCCCGGGACCTTCCTGAAGTCTGTCTGTGGGCTGCCTGAGCCAACTGCTCAGAGCCAGGCAGGTGCTGACTGTTAGCACCTCCTGGCCGCTCTGCACCCACCTGAGCAGGTGGTTTCCCAGTGGAGGGCTCTGCGGGCAGGCACTTGGCTGCCCCCCTCAACGGGCTGTGTTACCCTGCCCCACGCACAGTGGCCCCGTGCAGCCCTGTGCCATCCTCTTGAGGAGACCAGCCCGTCAAGAGTCCTCAGGGCCCTGGCCCTGGGCCACAGATGGGGCGAGGCATCTCCTGGCCGGCGTATACCCTCGGGGCTCCCTCACCGGCACCAGTGAGGGAGCTGTGCGCAGCCCGCACCCCTGGGTCCCACTGGAGGTCCATGTCTGCTTCTCGCTGGCCTGGACCACAGTTGGCTGCCCCTCAGCCTGTCGAACCCCCCATCCCATGTCACTGTCCAAAACCCATCCTCCTGCGAGCTGTGTGCTGTTCAGCCACAGGTCTCTCCCCAGCAGAGGCCAGGTCCCCGCCACCCGCTGGGAACCAAGAGGTCAGCCCCTAATAGTGCAGACGCCCCAGGGAAGTGGCAGATGAGGTACAGGTCGGGGCCAGAGGGCCACTCCCATCAGCATGGGTGGTCACTCAGAACCAGACAGGCAGCCCTGGAGCGAGGCCCAGCCGCATGCTGCCGCCGTGAGCCTCTATGTTCTGCCCTCCGTCACACCCCGAATCCGGTGGCACAGCCTGTCCGAGCCCACGCCACCCGTCCTCTGGGGGTCGAATAGTGACAGGAAACTGCCCTCGTTCGGGCGGCATGGCCCCAGTCTCAGCAGATGGGTGTGGGAGGCAGCCTGATCCACATACACCCCAACTTCTCGGGGACACTGCCCAGGCCTGGCTCCGAGAGGGAGGCACTGATAATTCACAGTGTCCCCGGCCAGGCGGAAGCCTCAGTCCCAGGTTCTCTGTGGAAGACAGAGAGTGTTGGTTGATTTCTGTGGATTTCACGCCCCTTGGAGGAGAGAGCAGCGGTAGGTGTCCCGGGCCGTCCGGAGCAGAGACCTGTTTGTGGGTCGCAAGGTGGCTTCCACGGCGTGAGCAGCAGGACCTCGCACTCACCTCCTGGGTGACCTGTCTGCAAGGGGTGGGAGAGGCCCCAAAGCACATGTTTGCCCCTGCGGGGACCCGTGGGCGGGGGCTTCGCTGGCTGTGTGGGGGAGGGCAGGGTGAGGCCGCCATGGTAGGGCAGGCCCCTTCAGAGGCGCCCCTGGGAGAAGCAGCCCTGCCCAGCGCCCGGACTGTCGGTGGTGTCCCACACAGGTGACAGCAGCCCCACCCGGCAGCAGGGAGCCACTTGGGAGACCTCTCTGTCCCTCCCGGCAGGTGGGGTCGGTCTCTGACCTGCTGCATGAGAATGGGTTTGTGACGACACGCTTCACAGAAGGGTTTCTCGTGGCTGACAGCTGCTTAGACCGAAGCGATGACTGTGTTTTAATCTCTCTCTCCACCCATCTTCCTCTTGGGACCACCAGGGTGCTGGGGGAGGTGGGTGGGGAGCAGCTCGGCTGCCACTGATGAGCCAGAGGCTGACTTCGGAAGGTCAGAGAACGACCTTCTTTCCACAGAACAACTTCATCAACCTCAGCTTCCTGCGCCTCTTCCGCGCCGCCCGGCTCATCAAGCTGCTGCGCCAGGGCTATACCATCCGCATCCTGCTCTGGACCTTCGTGCAGTCCTTCAAGGTGAGGCCTGGCCCGGCTCGGAGGGCTGGGGCCGGTGTGCACACCTGTCAGCACCTGCCGTCCTGGTGGTGTTTCTGAGGACTCGCATGTTATCCGCAGAGTATACTGTTGACACTCCCAGCACTCTGGGTGGGCCCTGCTGTTTCGCTGGAGGAACCAGGCAGTCGCCTGGGGGAGGGGCTTGGCCAGTGGGGTGGGTCTGGGGTCGTTCCGTCTGCCCACAGACCCGGGGCTGACCCCCTCCCCGCGCCCTACAGGCCCTGCCCTACGTGTGCCTGCTGATCGCCATGCTGTTCTTCATCTACGCCATCATCGGCATGCAGGTGCGCACGCCCTCTGGGCCGCAGTAGGGCCAGGCCATGGCCCTCAGGGGAGTAGTGGCGGGCTGACCCTTAGCAGACACTTCTGTGAGCAGGTGCCACGTAAGCACTTGGGGAGCCTGACCCTGAGAGAGACTGGTGTGGGTGAGGAGTGCCTGCTCTTAGGGGTGTCCCAGGTGCATGGTAGAGGGGCCGCTGGGCCCCAAGGTTCATGAGTGTCCGAGCTCGGCCGGGGGAGCAGCAGCTGGTCACTGCCTTGGTCTGGCAGCAGTTCCGAGGGACAGCCCTCCACTCCTTTGCGGGGACAGGTGTCCGAAGTTCGCAGGGTCAGATCCCTTCCCGGCGTATGTCGTGTCTACCTCGCACAATGTAGGCTGCCTTCACTCGGCCAGGGAACGCTGTGTCCATTATTCAGGAAAATGGAAAAGATAAGAGCAGTGTCCCCATTACAAACCTCTGTCATCTGGCCACTTCCCACGGAGGGGTGGCAGGCAGGTGGGCCCAGAGGCGAATGTGGTGGGAAGGCCAGTGTGTTCAAGGTGAGCTGAGCACGGGAGTTTGAAGTCCGTCTGGTACTGAAGAGTCGTCCTGCTTGCCAGGGCCCGAACCTGACACTCTGAGACGAGCACGCTATTCCTGCTGTGGGCCGGCTTTGCAGAAACATAAAGTCGGGGGGTTTGCTTTCAATGGATTGTGACAATTCATACATTTTCCAGCTAGATTCCAGATTTTTAAAATTAGATTTTATTTATTTTGAGAGGAGAAGGGAAGGAGAAAGAGAGGGAGGGAACATCCATGTGTGGTTGCACCTCGTGCGCCCCCCACTGGGGACCTGGCTCGCAACCCAGGCCTGGGCCCTGACTGGGAATCGGACTGGTGACCCTTTGGTTCACAGGACTGTGCTCAATCCACTGAGCCACACCAGCCAGGGCTCTAGATTCCAGATTTTAAGCTAAGAACGGTTACTGACACATTCGCATTTTGAACCTTGAAAAAAAATAAACTGAAACGTAGAAAAAGCCCATGGTGGCATTTGCCCAGAAATTTGGAGAGAAGCTGTGGCCTGACCTACCAGAGCAGTTGCCGGTACAGTCCTGTGTGCCGCCCGAGGCTGTCTGCCTGGCTCCCGGTACCCCTCCTGGAGGTCACCTGGCCCGCAGGAGGCTTCCTCTGGGCCCTGCCCCGACCCACGGGCAGTCAGCCAGGCAGCCCCTGTCGCCGGTCACACGCACACCCTCCGTGCCCGGCCCCGGCCCCGGCTCCAGGAGCAGCGGGCTGGCCTGTAGCCTGCGCTCCCGTTCCAGGTGTTCGGGAACATCGCTCTGGACGATGACACCAGCATCAACAGGCACAACAACTTCCGGACGTTTCTGCAAGCCCTGATGCTGCTGTTCAGGTGTGTGGTGTGGGAGGTCGCCTTGTTCTGCTGTCTGCTCCTAAGGGCTCCTGGGCAGGGAACGCCCCGCAGACAGGTCACCTGGGGGCCCGGGCCGGGTGGGCCTCCCCACCTTGTTGTTGCTCCGGGCTGCAGCCGAGAGGCCGCCCGAGAAGCTGCCGCCACAGAGGTCTGGGAGGACAGAGACACCCGCAGGGCCTTGGATGGTGTGCTGGCCTCAGGCCCTCTGGTCTCGCACCTCCTGACTGCAGGGACCTGTGGGCTCGGAGAAGCTGGGCAGCAGGGAGCCGCCGATGACACAGGGTAGAGCTCAGTGACCCAAGGCCCTGGTGGGCCCACACTGCTGGTTGGAGGGCATCTCCATTCGCCTCGGTTGCTCAAGGAGCTGCCGTGCCCTAGGCTCTGGGGGGCGGCCCAGCCCCATGGTGGAGCCCCAAGGGGCACAGGGCTTGTTTCAGGCTCAGGCCTCCCAGGAGGATGGCCTCGGCACCCTGGTCCCGCCGTTCTCGGGCTCTTCTGAGGCTGGGGGCTGCTGGTGTTCCCAGTATGAGAACAGAGGAGGAGGCACAAGGGATGGGGAGGGGCTGTGTCTTGCAGCCTCCAGAGTGTTCCCCACCCCGTGACGAGCAGGAAGGAAGAGCTTGGTAGAGGGACATCAGACCCTGCCCACCTGCCTGAGGGTTTCTGAGTTGGGCGGCTGCGGGTCTGCCCTGGGGCCCGGCTCCAGTTCTTCTCTGGCTGGGGGCAACCTCCGACCTCACTGGGTGGGCTGAGCTGTGTGGGGACAGTCCTCTGACCCTCGGTCTCTGTTTCAGAGGAGCGAGTCCCCTGAGGCCCGCACTTGCCCCGCATGGCATCTGTCCTCTGAACTTTGGCTAGGCCATTAATTCTTCTCAGCCACTGATATCCCTCCCGCGCCATGAAAGATCCGAGGCATGCCTCAGGTGTGGGCCTGGGTTTCAAGCCTTCAGTCTCAAAGGTCTCTCTTCCTCCCGGATCCTTGGGTCACATGTGGGCACCCTCACCCATCAGGTGTGGCACAGGCTGAACTGCCTCCCTGTAGAAGGCCCCTCGTCCCTGGTCACCATCAGTGGGCACCAGGCCCAGCTTCTGCCCAGGTGGGACACACAGGTGCACAGAGGGGACCCAGGCCTCTGGCCTGCCTGGGGCTCTGCTGTGCACCTGGCCTCTGTGGCTGGTTGCCTTGGAGGGCCCTTCAGGTGGCTGCACAGGGTGGGGGGTTTGAGGTGAGTTCAGGGAGCAGTGGAGGCCAGCGTGGCTGGCGTGGCTGAGCAGGACGGCCTTCGGGGTCAGGAGGGGCAGGCAGCAGGCCCCATGGGGCTGTGGGCAGTCACGTGATCTTGGCTTCTGCTGTGAGTGGCGAGACCTGGCCTGTTTCTCATGGCCCTGCAGGCCGCGGGACGGGGCAGGTGTTGGGAAGAGACTGCAGCAACTCAGGGTGGCGGTTGCTGTTGAGCCCGGGTGGCAGGAAGTGCTAAGGTTTGTTTCTCGCTGGGAGATGAGCTGATGGACGGACAGGATGTGGTGAGAGGGAGAGGCAGGAGGCAGGTGATGGCTGGAGGGGCCCGGCCGGCCGTGAGGGGGCGGGAAGTCTGGCGGGCCAAGGTGGCTCTGTAGTGCCCGGCGGGGTGCCTGGTGCGGCTCCCTCCTGGCCTCCTGGCCTCCGGGTTGCTTTTGTACTGAAACGAGCCATTGGAAGGTCTGCTGCCCAAGGGCTCTGTTCTGGAAGGAGCCGCCTGTGACCCAGACCTCTTGGCTGTGGTTCTCTGTGGGCGGGTACCCAGGCCTCACCACGCCCCTCTCCTCAGGAGCGCCACCGGCGAGGCCTGGCACGAGATCATGCTGTCTTGTCTCAGCAACCAGGCCTGTGATGAGCACGCCAACGCCACTGAGTGCGGCAGCGACTTCGCCTACTTTTACTTTGTCTCCTTCATCTTCCTATGTTCCTTCCTGGTGAGTTCGCCGTGGTGCCCGCCAGGCCCGTGTCCCATCTCAGTCCTTCCTGGGGCCCCGTCTCATGACCTGGGTCACACTGCGAGCTGATTCTTCAGACACGACCACCTTATGTGCCCTGAAGGGACCACCCAGCGGTGAGCGCCACAGAGCCTTGCCCTGGCTGCTACGCCACGGGTGTCAGGCCCTGCCTTGGTGCAGGGGCTGAGCCGTGCGGAGCCCGTGGGGTTTGGTTGGAGCAGTCACTGGGCTGGCAACAGACTGGATTTCATTCCAGGATTTCATCGGGAGCCTCCGGGGGACGAGAGCAGGGGTGGGACATGGTCTGCTTGCCCTGTCAGGGCCTTGTTCTGCTGCTGCTGCTGGTCAGGGGAGCGTGGAGGGAGCAGGGACAATGGGTGGCAGTGGCCTAGAGCAGGGTTGCAGGGAGTGTGTCAGTGCCGCCAGGCTGCAGTCTAAGGGTGGAGCTGGCAGGAGGGGTGACGGAGGAACAGCTGTGTCCTAAGGTTTCCCAGGTGAATGGGAGGACAAAAGCAGCAGGGATGGGACTGGGGAGGGAAGCACCAGGGACGCCTTGCAGACCTCTGGGCCGCAGGTGTCGGCACGTCCTCAGTAGTGTTTGGCTTGTCTTTGGGGCCAGATGACGTTCCCCTGGCCCTGGTACCCAGACCGTGGTCCAGAGACCCCTGGCTGAAGCCCCACCCGGACTCCAGCAGAATGCAGAATCCAGGGCCTCAGAAACTCCCTGTGTCAGGGTCTCCAGGAGAGGGGCCCAAGGGTCTGGGTCTTCACACACTTCGCACGTGATTCTGTGTGCCCCCGACTCTAAGAAGCCCAGGCAGAGTGTGATTTGAGAAACTGAAGACTGAGGCAGCTCCGCAGGCACCTGGGACGGGAGCCACCTGGGGACGGGAGCCACCTGGGGATGGGAGCGCCGGCCCAGAGGTGGAGAAGCTGTCAGGGAGGCCGGTGGAGACCCGGGGGCAGCGCTCCACAGCCGAGGGAGGAGATGTCGACACAGGAAAGGCTGTCGGGCAGTGAAGGAAGATGAGCCTGGCTGAGAGGTGCCCACTGGATGAGGGGAGGTGGAGGCCACCGTGGTGGTCATGAGGACAGGCGTTTGCGATGCGGGACCCGGCCTCCCGCAGCAGGCTCATGCCATGAGCAGTGCCGAGCAGTGTGGCGAGAGCAGACATGGCGTGTCCGTGGCCACGACTGAGCAGGGCCAGCCACACTCACTCCTTGGTGCTGTGGGCAGAGAAGGGTGTGGTCTGGACTTGGGGTTTCCCAGGCAAGTCTAAGGGGGGAGAGGAGGGTCATGTGAGGGATTTCAGTACCGGATCCAGGAGCAAAGCTGGGGACAGAGGGAGGGGACTGGGGGTGGGGGTGCAGGGCCCCGGATTGAGGACCTCGTGTGGAGCACAAGTGTCAGGGGAAGGGAGCCAGAAGAATAGGCGACACGGGCCAGGAGTGGGACAGCCCGAGTTAGGACTTTTGCAGGCAGTAGAGGTATCTCTGGTAAGGGCCAAGTTTGGCATTCAGTCGATGGAATAAGGAGCTGAGATGATGGTGGGCGGGGCATGGGAGGCCAAGGAGCAGAGAGGCCAGGCTGGAACTGCCTCGCGTCTGTGTGCATTAACAACCACAAGGATGATAAGAGTCACGTTTCATCCGGAAAAGCAACCCAGGCACCAGATCTCCCCTGAGGGAGGGGAGAAGTTTGTAGGTTCTGAGCACGGAAGAGCAGGGTCGTGTTTTCTCAAGAGGACGGCGGGGAGGGGCACGTCCACGTCACAGCTGGAGCCAGAAGAGAACACCCAGGACGAAGACGTGAGGGCTTCCGCTGAGGGTAGACTGAGTCCTGAAGGTGCGGTGAAGGTGGGGTGGTTGGCAGAGGTGTGTGTTTGGGACAGATGAGCTTGCATGTTGACAAAGGAATACAGAAAAGTCTAAAAAACTGTTTCACTAATTGCCAGAAACCAAGCAGAGAAAGTTCATGTTGGGGTCACCCTCCCTCTGATCCCTAAAAGACTCTTTTTTTAAAATCCTGACCCAAGAACATGCTTATTGATTTTAGAGAGAAGGGAAGGGAGGGAGAGAAACATCGATCAGTTGCCTCTCATACGCATCCCCACAGGGGACTGAACCTGCAACCTAGGCATGTGCCCTGACTGGGAATCAAACCTGTGACCTTTCACCCTTCGGGATGACACTCCAACCAACTGGGCCACACTGGACAGGTCTCAGAAGACCTTTTGTGGGCAGCAGGGAGGGCAGGCTTTCTGGAGAGTCAGTGCCTTATAGGTAGTGGGGCTTTGGTCTCCATGCATTTCAGACACCAGATGCTGTAGGAGCCCTGGCTGTAGACTTGAGCACACCCTAGGGAGGCCCGGCCCCCCCAGGCTCCTGGCTGCAGGTGAAGCCCCGCAGAAGCCAGATTTGTGGTGACTTGCCACCCACAAGACCCACACTCCCTGCACGTGCTCAGGATGAGTTGGGGAATCCCCTGGATTCCGATGTCACTTTTCCCTGTAGAAGTGGGCATTTGGTGGCCGCTGTCCCAATGGGCCTTTTTGTCACCTGAAGCAGAGAAGGGAACAGGCTGGAAGCAGTCCTCCTGGCCCCACACTGTTGGCTCTAGGTCTGTTGGGTGACTTGTGCCCAGAGTCCCTCAGGTCTGGTTTGGTCTGACAGAGAAGTGATGGCGGTAAAAACGGGATTGTGATTTGGGGATGTCTGGCAGGACCAGGTTAGGTTGGGATCCAGCCACCTGGATCTGAGGAGAGGTGGGCAGGACAGCCCGCTCACAGTGACTAACTTAGATGCCGTGCCGAGTCTCACGGATTCCTGAAGATGATGAGCCGGGGATGGGCATCACCCTCATCACCGTGAACAATCGGGTGCTCAGAAGCGTTAAATGCCGTGGTTGGCCTGTCCACGCTATTGCACCAAGCTATTGCAATGGACAAATTCCTAGAAGGACACAAATCACTGTAACTGACTCAAGAAGAAACAGAAAATCCAGGTAGACCTGTGACAAGTGATGAGTTTGAATCACTAATGAAAAACACCCTCTAAAAACGAAGTCCAGGGTGGGATGCATCACTGGTGAACCCGACTGAACAGTAAAGGAGGAATCAGCACCCGTCTCTCGCACACTCTCCTGACAGAATGGGGGAGGAGGAAACACTTATGGACTCATTCTGTGAAGTCAGTGCCATCTTGTCACAAAACCAGACAAAGACATGACCAGAGGAGAAAACCGCACACGTCCTGCGTGAATGTAGGTGTGAATGTCCCGAACAGGACGCCTAGGCTGACTTTATCAACACAGAGGGTCACAAACCACGGCCCGGTGGACCCTCTCAGGGATGCAGGGACGGAGCAGCACACGAAAGTCAACCAATCTAATAAGCCCCACTAATGAGGAAAAACCCACGTGGTCATTGCAATAGATGCAGAAACAGCACTTGCAAAATTAAAGACACTTTCATGATAAAAGCACTGAACAAGAAAAAGGGAACTTCCTGAACATGATAAAGAGCTTTCATGCAAATGCACAGCTGACCTCATATTCCATTTGGAAAGACTATCAGCTTAAGCCTGAAGAAGACATGAAGGCATCTGAATGAAGAGGACTTGCAGATGACATTGTTGCACACAAACAAAATCCCAAAGTGCGCGCACACGCTCTCACCAGAGCACCGTTATCTCTAAGAAAGGAGTTTGCCAAAGTTCCAAGCACAGAATGAGCACACGATAATCGGTGTGTTTCTGCACACCAGCAGCAAACAACCTGAAAAGGAAGTCGAGAAATAAACCTATTCCCGGTCGTATCCACAGGAATAAAATGCGTGGGAGGAGGTGAAAGACTTGCACACTGAAAACTGCAAACGTTACTGAAAGCAGCACAAGGAAACCTGACTGAGTGGATAGGCGTCCCTGTCTGTGAGTCAGAAGGTGACAGCGCCCCACAGCGGCTGGCAGGTGTCATACCCGCCCCCCATCAGGATCCCAGCAGCTTTTTTTGGCAGAACTGGAAACGCCTGTTCTGAAATTCATATGGAATTTCAAGGAGCCCAAACAGCCGACACAATCTTGAAGAAGAAAAACAGAACATGCACATTTCCCGACGACTTAAGTATAAAGCTCCTGTAAGCAAAACAGTGTGGCCACATAGAAATTTTTGCCCAGGAGGCCATGGCTGCTCCGTGTGGGACTAATGGTTTCCTCAACCGGTGGTGCCGCGACAGCTGGCCCTCTGTGTGCAAACGGGTGAAGTGGGCTGCTCACCTCATCCACTTGTGCAAGCAACTCAAAACCAATTCGAGACCCAAATATAGCAGCTTAAACTGTAAAACTCTTACAAGGAAATGCAGAAAAAAAAATCTAGACCTCAGACTTACCAAAATCATGAGCATCATGAAACAGATAAGCTAAAGTAGTCAAAATTGAAAACTTTTTTGCATCACAATACATTGTCAATATGTGAAAAACAGTCTCTAAGGACTAGGAGAGAATGTTTTTACCCATCACTTATCTTAGAGGGGGTTAATATCCAGAATATATAAAGAACCCGGTAGCTCAACAACCAGAAGACAAGCAACCATATAAAAATGGGCAAAGACTCAGAACAGACCTTTTTTCAGAGAGAAAATACCAGGGGCCGCCGAGAGCGTGAAGACGCTCCCCGCCTCCGCGCTGGAAATGCAGGTCCCAGCGACAGCGAGATACTGCTCGCGGCCATGGGGTGGCGGTTGTGGTGGGTTTTTCACGGGAAATAACAAGCGGTGGCAAGAACAAGGAAAATAGGAACTCGTGCATTTCCAGGGAGGAATGTGAAACGGCAGCGGCGTCCGAAAGGACAGTGTAGACTTTCCCCCCAAGTTAAGCACAGATGTGCCGACCGCACGGCCCAGCAGTTCCCCGCGGGAGAAGTGAGATGTCCTCGCCGACTTGTACGGGACGTCCACAGCGGCTTCAGCCGAGAGCAAGAGGCGGCAACCGCCCGGCGTCGTCAGAGGGGGAGCGGAGGGACAGCCGCGGCCTCTGCCCGTGCGCCACGCAGCCCCGGACGGGAGTGGGCCTCCGCCGCCGCCGCCGCCGCCGTGCGAGGGACTCCCCGGAACACCAGGCCGAGTGCAGAAGCTGGCTGGACCCCGGAGGCCGTGCTGCACGGTTGACTCGTTGTGTGGGAAGTACCCGAACACACCACTGGACGGATACCGCGGGAGGCTGGCGGTTTCCAGCATGGGAGGAGGGGAAGGGGCTGCAGGAGGCGCCCTCCGGGTCCGGGAACAGTGTGGAGCCAGGGGCCGGGCGGGTGCGCCGCGTTGTGCACGTGCCGAAGGCCGCTGACCCTGCTCTTCAAAATGGGCCTCCCGTGAGCAAGCCTTCAAGCGTGCGGCCCCAGGCCCCACTGCCGCCCTGGAAGGCTCGCTCAGAGCGGAGGAAGGGGATGGCGGGGCGGTGCTGGTGGTGGCGGGGGACCTGACAGCAGCATGGACTGTGGTCAAGAGATGAGAGGCCTGATTCAGACCCGGCCTAGAGTCAAGAGCGAAAGCCTTCGGAGGTTCACTATGCTTAGTGTCAGACCTCTGCGGCTGCGGCCGCTGACGGGCCGGGGGGCGGAGGAGCAGCGGGGTGGGCGGGGCGGGGTTAGGGCCCAGGTGGGGGAGGAGCCGAGGGGCTGGTGCGGGCGGGGCGTGGAGGAGGAGCAGCGGCGGGGGGCTGGGCGGGGGAGGAGCCACGGCCTGGGCGGTGGAGGCGGAGCTGCAGCGGCTGGGGTAGGGGAGGAGCAGGGGGTCCGGTGGAGGAGGAGCAGCGGGGGCCAGGGTGGAGGAGGGGCTGGTGGGGGAGGAGCAGCGGGGCCTGTGGAGGAGGAGCAGCAGGACAGGTGGGGGAGGAGCGGAGGGGCTGGTGCGGGCGGAGCCGCGGTCTGGGCGGTGGAGGCGGAGCTGCAGCGGCCGGGGGTAGGGGAGGAGCGGAGGGGCGGGTAGGGGAGGAGCAGCGGGGCCTGTGGAGGAGGAGCAGCAGGGCAGGTGGAGGAGGAGCAGTGGGGGCCCGGTTCGGGGGGAGCAGAGGGGCGGGTAGGGGAGGAGCAGCGGGGCAGGTGGGGGAGGAGCCGCGGTCTGGGCGGTGGAGGAGGAGCAGCGGGGCAGGTGGGGGAGGAGCCGCGGTCTGGGCGGTGGAGGAGGGGCAGCAGCGGCCGGGGGTAGGGGAGAGCCGAGGGGCTGGTCCGAGGGGCTGGTCGGAGAGGAGCAGTGGGCTGGGCTGCGGGGAGATGGCTCCGGACAGGCTCTGGCCTAGTCGGTTGAGCTCTGTCTCCTGGATGTTCCCCGCAGACTTCGGCTGGAGGGCTCGGGGTGCCGGGAGGGCAGGCTGAGGTCTCTGTGTGTCACCTCTTCTCCTTCCTGTCCTGCAGATGTTGAACCTCTTTGTGGCTGTGATCATGGACAATTTTGAGTACCTTACGCGGGACTCTTCCATCCTAGGGCCTCACCACCTGGACGAGTTCATCAGGGTCTGGGCTGAGTACGACCCGGCTGCGTGGTGAGTGAGGCGCCCTGCTCCCGGGGCCTGGGACCCAGGATCCCCACTCCCTGTGGGATGGCGCTCATCTTCCTCTTGGGCGGTGCTCTCCTTCTCACCCTCCCTGCACTTGTGGAAGCTCCCCACGCTCCGAAATTCTCTCTGAATCCTCAGCCCAGCCCTTAGGATGTTACCTGGGGGTCTCTAAACATTTTCAGGGCATTTGTGAGGCTCAGGGCCCTTACTGGGTGGCCCATCATCATGGTTCCTGGAGACAGCTGGGGGCCATCTCCTGGGCCTCCGTGGGCCCCGGGGCGCTCTGCCCTCTCTCTGGGGGATAGGAGCCATGTGCCCCTCTGCATCCACAGCTCAGGCTGCTAATGGTGGGTGCTCGGTGAGCTTTTACTGAGACGGGATGAGCTGCCAGGAGGGGTGTCGTGTGTGTTTCAGTGCGGTGGGAAGACTGTGCCTGTCATTTGAGTGAGGGGGTTCGTTTCCAAGGGGAGCAAGGATCTCATGAAGGTGGTTTGGGGTCAGAAGCTGGTTGGAGACCGCGTTTCCTGGGAGAGTCCCACACGCCTGTGGCGCACTCGTGTGTGGGTCCCGCCTGTGTGTGTGTCATTACTCATTCACCTGCATCTTCACACGTTCACATCTCAGGATGGAGCTGGAGTGGAGTGAGGGCAGGGAGGGGCCGAGAGACCTGACTCCCAGGTGTGCACGGGCCCACACACATGTCCTGCCCTGTCCTCGAGTGGCCCCTGTGCGGCGGAGGCCTGAGGCAGGGGCTCATGCCCCTGTGGTGAGTGAGCACTGGAAGCTCCGCATGTAGAGGGTGCCTGGGGCGTTCTGACCCCCGGCCCCCGCACCCCCTCATCAGCCACCTTCCTGAAGGTGCCACCCTGTCCATGTCTTGGGGTGTTTCCGGTAGTGGAACCCCACGGTTCTCACCCAGTGGGACACAGGCACTGCCTCAAGCCATGTTTCGTGGTGCGCGAGGCTGAGTTCGTGGCCCAGAGAGGCCTGTTATCCTGTCTGAGGGGCCATCACAGGTTCTCTGGTCGGGAAGGCCCATCGGGTTGGGGGGCAGGGTGGCCGCACTCAGACCCAGCGCCTCTCAGACACAGGCTGCCCAGACTGTGGTGCTGGCAGGAGGAGACTCACTCCGACATGGCCTTAGGGACACTGCTACTTCTCAGCGCGTTTTCTCTGGAGGAGGCTGTGTTGCCAGAAAAACAGATTGTTTGGGATGGGACCTGGGCCAACGAGGAAAGGCAGGTCAGTGCAGGCCTGTGCGGGGAGGACGCTTCCCGGTCGGTGTGAATCGCAAGCCCGGGACCCCCAGGCAGCGCAGGTGGAGCAGAGCAGGTTGCCCAGGAAGCAACCCCGGTCAGACTGGCTGGCGCTCATGCACAGAGCTCCCAGCTGGGGCCCTGGGAGGGCACGGCTGTCAGGGACAGGGACAGAGAAGTGCCAGTGGGGGAGCAGGCAGCCCAGCGGAAGCCCCAGCACAGAGTGGCCCGCCAGCACCCCACAGGACCCCGGTCCACCCAGAGCAGAGGTGCGACCACAGCTCCCACCCACCTCACCGCTCCCATGGTGCCGGGGCTGGAAACACAGGTGGCTTCAGACACCAGGAGGGAAGGCCCAGCAGGGGCCTCTGAGCAGGATGGATGGTGCTTGAAGGCTCACTGGCCTTTGTGACAGATGCCAGGGTGCGGTCCCCTTCAGCCCCCAGGGGACCACTCTGCTGGGTCCTCCTTGGCGAGATTCTGAAACAGCAGCAGGACTTCGTGGAGTTTCTTTGTGTGTGTGTGTTTTCACCCGTGTGACTGTGTGAACTTCCACACAACTGTGCATGTGTGTGTACTGCGTGTGAGCGCCTTTGTATTGGGGGTGTGTCCATGTGCACACATCCTTGTGTGCTGGGGGAGAGGAGGAGGCTCAGAGCCCCTGCTTTCTGTCTGTTGCCCTGCGTGTACCCCCCGCCCCCCGCTATTGCCTCGGAACTTTGTGGTGAGTGGACTCAAAGGGGCACCCCAGCCACGCCCTCTGTGAGTGACATCAGCCCGTCCCGATGCACGTCCACCTGTGCAGTGAGCATGCTGAGCATCCGGTGTGCTGGGGCACGGTGTCCACAGGGTCTCTGTGGAGAGAGGAGCCATCCTGCGAGTCCGGGCTGTGTCTGTGGGGGTGAGTCAGATCGGGTGGGGTCTGACCCCAGTGACGGCGGCAGGATGGTGGACAGGTGGACAGAGCCACAGAGCTGCAGGTGCAAGTGGTAGAAGCTGAGCACGTCTGGCTGAAGGGAGAGACTGCGTGAAACAAGCAGCTTTGACCTTGTTTCATAGACCATGGGGACAGCATTTGAGTCCGAGTGACAGTGTCAGGCCCACAGTTTTGATGTGGTGGTACCTGAGGGGCTTGGTGGCAGCAGAGAGGTGAGGCCAGAACTGGAGGAGACAGGGGCCGGCTCCCTCTGGTCCTTCAAGGTTGGCACGACTTGGGGCAAGGCCAGGTGGGACCTGCTCTTTCCACCTGGTTCCAGAAGTGAGGTCTCACGTTGGGAGCTGATCGGATTGAGAGAACATGGTTCAGGGAAGAGAAGCCAACCCTGGGGCAAGGGGGTCCTTTGTGAGACCCCAGGTTCCAGGGGAGGGCTCTGGCTCAGGGAGGTGGGGACTGTCTGGAGAGCCCCCTGGATTCTAGAAAGCTCACTGTCAGGGGTCCGGTGAGCGCCACCGGGTGGGGTGGGGTTGGTTGTGTGTGTGCGCGGAGCCCACAGACTGCTCCCGGCCCTGCTCCGGGGGCTCCCCACCCAGGCCCCACCAGGGAGCTGCCTGTCCAGCACCTGGCAGGTAGGGCGGGTGGCAGGACGGGCACCTGAGCCTCGGTTGCATAACTTGTGACATTTCCTTTCCAGTTGCCGGATTCATTATAAGGATATGTACAGTTTGTTGCGTTGTATTGCGCCACCCGTTGGCTTAGGGAAGAAGTGCCCTCGTAGGTTGGCCTACAAGGTTTGCAACTTCAGAGCCTCCATCTGACATACTCCTCCCTACCCGAAGCCAAACACAGCACACACTCCCTGCCTGGTTTGGGAATGAGGACACCGCACCTCTGTCCTCCCACCCTGCCCCGCCCCGCCCCGCCCCGCACTACAACTCCTGGATGCTTTAGTCCCCAGCTAACCTCCCTGACCCTCCAGCTGGCCGGGACAGAGCCTGCAACTCAGCGCACACGGCGCTTTCAGGCTGGACGGTGAGCTCCACCGCCGGCTGCTGGGTGGGGGCCAGGGGCCAGGTCTCGCCCAGCTTCCCCTACTACCCTCCAGCTCTCGAGGATGGGCTGATGGTCAGAGAAACTGGAGGCCTAAGGCCCGGAAGAGAGGGCATGGACACAAGCAGACCAGTAGCTGCTGCCCCTCTGGGTCCCAAGAGCCCAACAACCTGGGGTCTCTGGTCCCTAGGGGTGCAAAGGATGGAGAGGGCCCTCCTGCCTCCCCTCCGAATTGATCTGAAGGCTGAGGCTGGGAGCCCTGGGCAGAGGGCCAGGCCCAGTGGCCAGAAAATGACTGTGTCTCTGGGACCCCACACAGGTCCTACAGGCAGGTCCCATGGGTGGTGGTAAGGCTTTAGGCCTATCTCCCTGGGGAAGAGATGGTCGTTGGCCACCGGACACTCCCGAATCTGGAGCCGTAGCCACATGCTGGCCCCTGCCCTACCCCTGGTGCAGTGTGAGGAGGGGGCAAGAGTGGCTGCCCCCACCCCGCGCCCACCCGCAGTCCCCATGTCCTGCCCAGTCCTGACCCCAGCAGCAGCCCTGCCCTGGGCCGGCCTCGGGCGTCTCTGGGCTTGGAGCAGGGACGTGCCTCGTTCAGGGTGTCTGGAGCCCCGGGGCGCCCTGCAGCGCAGCTTCGCTCTGGTTTTCCTGCTTGTTGTGGACTTTCCTCCATTGTCAGCCTGCTGGCTCCCTGGGAAGCAGCCCGAGCGCTAAGGGGAGCTGGGTGTCCGAGGAGGCTCTGGGCTGGCCTCCGGTCCCACAGCCCTGCCGACCTGCTCCCTGCTCTGGAGCGGCTCTTTTCTGATTCGATGCTGCCTGTGGTTTCTGAAAGTGTGAAGCAGACATTAACAACCCAAAGGCGCCCGGATGCAGCCCTTCCTCACCCCTCCATGTTCATTAGCTTGAAGCCACCCGCTCACTGCGGGGCTGGAGTGCAGGGGTGGGGGGCACGAGGGACCGAGCGGAGCAGAGAGGCCCTACTTTCGTGACCATACTTCTAGTATTCACTCCGACACTGGTTAATGGATCTGTTTTCTTTTCTGCTTCCTCCCCCCGCCCCGCCCCCCATGGATCCTCTGCCTCTGCCTCCCTGGGCTGGGCCTCCAGTGGGCGCATCACGTACAGTGACATGTTCGAGATGCTGAAACACATGTCCCCACCCCTGGGGCTAGGGAAGAAATGCCCTGCTCGAGTGGCGTACAAGGTAGACCCTGGCCCTGCTCCCCAGAGGCTGTCTGTGCTGGGGCTGGTCTCCCGTCGCCTGTCGGGGCTTGTCCGTCTGTCTGTATGCCACTCCGCTGTCTCACTGTTTGTTTCTTTTCTCTGCCCCAGCCATCTCTGCTTCTCCCCAGACAGAGGGACACGGACACCGCAGTGGTGTCTTTGCACCGGCCCCTTGTCCCCAGGGTGGCCCCGGGAGCCCTGAGAGGCTCAGGGAGACAGAGACAGAGTGTCCCCTGCCCTTGCTCCCTCCCTCTCCTTCCTGGAATGAGAGCGCAGGCTGGCCTTTGCAGCAGAGGCTTCTGTTCTGGGCGCAGTCCCACCCGCGGGCCTCCCTGGGGAGAGGGGTCTGAGGCGGGAAAGGCACCCAGCCACATACCTGCAGGCATCCCAGGCCTGGTGGCCGCAGCCTGAGAAAAATGCATCTGAAGGGCCTTGTGAGCCCGTGGTGGCCTCGAGGGGAAGGAGGTCAGGGAGAGGCACCCGGCAAGGGTCGCTGCAGAGGGAGCAGCCTCAGGCCCAGGTGGCCCTATGATGCCCCCCTCCCCGCCCCCATCGCTGAGGATGCAGCTGGCTGAGTTGTAGGAAGGGGGTGAACTGAGGGACACCTCTGGGTCTCCCTCCTCACATGGCCCCAGCCCCGAGCCTGCTCCCACCCGCCCATGGATCCTGCCACCCCCCTGGCATCCTGCAGCACCTGCCTCCCGAAAGTCCTCCCACACCCCGTACCCCCAGCAAATGGCCAGCATGTGTCTGGAGCCTTCCTGCTGTCTCCCTCTCTCTGAGTGAGCTTCCCACCAGAGCTTCTGTCTCTCTGGTCCTGTCCACACTGCCTGTCTCTGAGCTCTGCTTCCATCCTGTCTGTCGCCTGGCCCAGCACAGCCTTTGGGGGTGGAGTGGGTGCCTCTGGTGTCTCCCTCAGCCCCCCTGCCTGGCATGAGCATCTGGCTTCTTGGAGGCCCTGCATGCAACACCGCAACCTTGTCCCCAAGAAGGAGAGCTCTGTCCACACCAATACCAGGGCCAGAGGGCTGCAGGGCCCATGGTGGCCTTGGAGCCCCACCCCAGCTGTGCTGGCTGACTCCAAGGTTCTGGGCATGCAGAGGCCAGGATGGAGGGGGTGGATGGGCTTGGCGAGCTGGGGAGGGAGTAGGAGATGCACAGGGTGCTGTGGCCAAGAGGGTCTAGACCCAGCGCACGGAGGTCTGTCTGGCCATCTGCTGCTCGCTGAGATTCCAGGCCCTCTGGGGGAAGGTGCCCTGGATGGAGCCCTCCTCTCTTGGAAATCACCTGCTTTGCTCCTCCTCTGCTGCTCCGTGATCCCTGAGTCCCCTGGAGGGGAACCCCCTGCCTCTCCCATTGCTGCCCAGCGGGTCTGCAGGGATGCCGTGCTTCCTGGTGTGTGCCACACAGGTGCCACGTGAGGTCCTGGGACCATGACCGGATGTCCGAGCGGGGCTTTGCCAGCATTCAGGGACAGGGTCTGGGTTCGTGTCTGCAGGCACGTGCTCCATCAGGCTTAGGATTACATCTGGGGGCAGTGGGTCAGCAGACACAGAGGGCCCTGTGCCCTTATTTCTAGCTCCCGCTCTGTGGAAGGGTCAAGAGGCTGCTGAGAAAGGACAGGTGGGATGTGGTGCCCCTTCGTGCTCGGGACGTTGCAGACACACCTGTACCCCTCTGCCTCTTGGAGACTGAGGAGGGGAAAGGGGACTTCATACCTGCAGGGGCACTGCCCCCAGCTGGTCTGGTTGGAGGACTTGTATTCCTGCAGAATTGCCCGAGCCTGTTCCTGCCAACCCCCGCCCCCACCATCCCGCAGCTGGCCGAGCCCAAGGCCCATGCAGTCCCAGCTCTTCTGGGTCTGCCCACCTGGACCCTGTCTCTCTTCCAGGCCCCTTCCCTGGGTGGCTGGTGAGAGCAGAGCCTCCTTGGGGCTGAGGGCTGCTGCCCAGGCTGTGCTCTCAGCTACCCACCCCTTGTCCGGGCTCCAGCCTGTGGCTGGAAGGGATGGGGTTGGCAGAGGAGTAAGGACAGGGATCTCCACTCCTGTCTGTGGGTTGTCCCAGGGAGCAGCAGCCTTAGTCCTGTGCGCAGATCCGTGCGCCCAGTCATGGCCATGCGCCCTCTGCCCTGCCATGGCCAGAGGGTGCGGAGGTCCTCAGTTGAGGAAGTCTATTGTTTAGAGCTCCTGGCTGGCCCCAGGGTGCGAGTCCTTGCCTGGCCCTATGCTTTTCTGTAGCCAGGAGAGCCCTCGGCTCAGCTCATGGGAGGGAGGAGTCAGGGGTGAATGGGAATGCTGGCAAAACTCCCCTCTATTGGACCTTTCTGTCCCAGACACCTGCAGGGGTCACCTCCAGGGGCCTCCAGCACTGAATGGCCCTGTGGTGGGGCCCCTGGAAGGCCTGGCCCTAACCTGCCCCCCTTGTCCCCAGCGCCTGGTCCGCATGAACATGCCCATCTCCAGCGAGGACATGACTGTCCACTTCACATCCACGCTGATGGCCCTCATCCGGACTGCACTGGACATCAAGCTGGCTCCAGGTGAGCACAGTAGCCTCCGGGCAGAGGTGCTGAGGCAGGGCCCTTCAGAGCCTCCCCCCAGGTGGGGGGCAGGGAGGGGCACAGGGGCCCGTCTGTCCGGGGCACTGGCTTTGTCTCCTGAGGACCACCCTGTGCGCCAGCGCTGCAGCGCCCCCTTTCCATGCCAGGACACTGAGGGCAGTGACGTGGAACGGTCGGTCCAGGTTGCCCAGGCTCTTGCCAGTTGCAGCTGGAGTGTGGCCCGGCCCCATGCCCATGGCCCGTATTACTGCTCTCCTGGCAAGCCCAGTGCAATGTCGGGCCCTCTCCTGAGCTCAGCAAGAAGACCACGTAGTTTGTGAGAAGTCGAAGAGAGAACGAAGCTGTAGCGCGTGCTCCCCACCCTCACCCTGTGTGATGACAGTTTCCCCTTCACACAGAACATTGGAGTCACCAGAGGGGGGCCTGCACCACCCCTGTCCCCCACACCCCCTCCTCCCTGCACTTGTACCCTTGAGCTCGGCTGACTCCTGTGACGGGTGAGTCCAGGCCAGTCTCCACCTTGCACACGAGGTCCTGTCCCTGTCATCTGCTCTGCGTCTCGCCGTGTCACCTTCTGTCTGTACTGGATTGTCTGTCGGTACACAGTCGTGCCATTATGTCTCCCATCTTTAAAAATTCTCTTCCCGCCTATCACCTTCCCTATTTGTCTCCCTCCCTTCATAGCGAACCACTCCTCGAGAGGCTGGTGTGTGTCGCCTCTGGTCTCTCTGTCCCAGTCAGCAGCCGGCTGTCCCCGCAGCACCACATGACTGCTCTCGTTAAGCGCCCCTTGACCTCTACCATCTCAGCCCTCACCACACAGACCTGTCTGCCACATCTTCTCAGCTCCCACGCCCTCCTCCCTGGCCCCCTTTGTGTCTCTTCTGGTTCAGCTGGTCCCCCATTCTCTGACGGCTGTCTCTGTTGTTTCCATCTATTCCCGTGGCTCTCAGCACCGTGAATTCCAGTTTGCTCTCCCAATTCTGTGTGGCTAGTCCAGGCCTCCTTCTGAACCCCTCTGCACCCCAGGTTGTTTGCCCGCTGCACTTGGAGGCCCAGTAGGCTTCCAGAGCTCACTTGCTTGAAGGTGAGCTCCAGAGAGTCTTCGTGGTCTTCCCAGCCCCTCAGTGTAAACTGTTGTTCTAGGGGCTCTAGACGAAAATGTGGGTCATATCTTCTCTTTTGTTTTTTACCCCATTTGCAACCAATATCTGACCTCTTACACTTCTTCTGACTCTACCTTCAAAGTATATCCAGAATATGATCATTTTCCTGCCTTCTCCCACGGAACCTCTTGGTCCAGGCTGCTGTGTGCCAGCCTCTGCCAGGCCGAGGTGCTCTTGCCCCCTTGGCCCTCCTACAGTTTGACGGCCAGAAACATCAAGTTACAAATTAAACTCGTAAAGTTGACAAACCTCTATTGGGATGGATCAAGACAAAAATGAGATAAAAATAACTAATAGCAAAAGAGGAAACATGGCTGCAGACCCTGCCGACACTGAACGGGTAACAAGGAAATGTTACGAACAACGAGATGCCAAAGCCTGGAACTCTAAGGAAATAGGAAAACTCCTTGACACAGACTATCAAGCTTATTCAAGAATAGGTGAACTAAAATATGACTGAATATTACTATATATATATTTTTTTAAGATTTTATTTATTTGTTTTTAGAGAGGGGAAGGGAAGGAGAAAGAGAGGGAGAGAAACATCAGTGTGTGGTTGCCTCTTGCACAGGCCCTACTGGGGGACCTGGCCTGCAACCCAGGCACGTGCCCTGACTGGAAATCGAACCTGTAACCCTTTGGTTCGAAGGCTGGTGCTCAATCCACTGAGCCACACCAGCCAGGGCTTACTATATTTATTAAAGAAATTAATTTCATAGTTAAAAACCTTCCAACAAAGAAAATCCCAGGCCCAGTTAGTTCCATCAGTGAAGTCTGCCAAACATTCATTTAAGAAGGAAGTACTGCCAATTCCATACAAACTCTTCCAGAAAGAAGAAAAATGAAGGTGTTTCTCAACTTATTTTACAAGGCCAGCATTATTTTGCTGTCAAACAGAACAAAGACATTCTGTCAGAAAGTGTCCAGCCATATATTATGAAAAATAGAGACAGTTACTGAAGAAGATACAAGAAACACTGTACATAGGACAATAACACCTCAGTCCCCTTCCAAGTAGGCACTTTGGGACCTCATACAGTTCTCCCAATTGCCATCGGCTGCCCCATCGTATTTTCCTGAATCTCATCAATTATCTGAAATCTCTTCCCTTTCAAAGGTAATTTCAAAGGTTTGGGGAAAAGGCACAAGTCTCAGGGCATCAAATCTGGGCTGTAGAGGGACTGAGTCACCTGGGTGATTTGATGTTTTGCCAGAAAACTCTGCAAGAGATGTGACGCATGAGCAGAAGCTGCCAATCACCAGTTGCCTACAGCTGTGGCCTTTTGAATCATCCAAATAGTTTCTGCAGAGGAATGTTCAAGCTTAACACAAAATTTGGTGCAGATTCATTGCTCTACTCGCTCAGTCATTTTGAATGTGACAGTCACACAGTACACATGCTCACTCAGCAGTGTCTACCACCCCCACTGACTAGTACAGTGAAGTCGTCATTGTTCATGCATGCACATTCCAGTCCACTCTCCTTGGCTACCAGGTGACACCGAAGTCGCACAAACCATTCTAGGTGTGTTAACAATGGCTGGACTTTTTCCGGACAGACCTTGTAGGGGGAAAACTTACAGACCAACATTTCTCATGAACACAGATACAAAAACTTTTAACATAATTGTAGCAGAGTGAGTCCAGCTGCATATACACACACACACATTATAAAATAGTACTTGACAAAAGTAGGGTTTGTCCCAGGAATGCAAGTTTTTTTTAATGTAAAAACCAATTATTACAATGTAATATATTAAAAAATAAAAAACTATATGATCATCTCAATTGATGCAGAAAAAGCATTTGACAAAATTAAACAAACATGGTTTTAATAATTTTATATAAACTAGAAATTCAAGGAAACTATCTCAACCTGGTAAAGGATATCTGTGAATATCCTACAGCTAATGGCGTACTTAACAAAGAATGATTGACTCCTTTACTTCCGAGGTCAAGAGCACAGCAAGGATGTCTGCTGTCCCCATATTTGTCCAGCATCGCACTTGAGGTCCTAGCTGGTGTAATAAGCCAAGAAAAAGAAATGAGGTGTAGGTATTGGGAGGGAAAAAGTAGAACGAACTCTATTCACAATTGACATGATTATCTATGAGGAAAATTCCAAAAAGTTGAATGAATTGTTAATAAAACTGAGGCAACTATAAGCCAAGGAATTCCAAGGATTTATGGGAACCACCAGAAGCTAAGAAGAGACCAGGAAGGGTTCTTCATTCTCCCTCACTGAAGGGAGCACAGCTCTGCTGAGACCTTCACTTTGAGCTCCTGGTCTCCAGAACTGAGACAACACATTTTTATTGTTTTAAGCCATAAAAATGTTACTAAAACTAATATGTGAGTATAGCAAGGTCACAAGATACAGGGATAAAACTAATATGTGAGTATAGCAAGGTCACAGGATATCAGTTAACAACTGACATTGGAATAAAGTTCCATTAAAATAACACCCAAAACATAAAATCTTCCTTATTGCTGGAAACTCTAAAAAATATAATATTTGTATGCTGCAAATTTCAAAACATTGACTAAAGGAATCAAAGAGCTAAACAAATCAAGCTGTACGTCATGTTCATGCATCAGGAGACTTGATGTTGTTATGATGTCAATTCTTCCAGTACTGATCAACAGAGTTAATGTTAGTCCAGTCAAAATCAAAACAGGCTTTCTGAGTAGAAATTATAAACCAAATCTAAAATGCATGTAGAAAAGCAGAAGAACTTGAGAAACAACAATTTTGAAAAGAACAAAGTTGGAAAACTCACCTGCCTGAGTCAGACTTTTGTAAAGCTGTGTCAACCAAGACATTCAGCGCTGGGGACAAGACAGGGACGAGATTGGAGGACAGTGGTGGCCTCAGGAAGGGGCTCTTCCTTATAGAGTTGACTGGTTTTCAATGATGTTGCAAAGACACTTAATGGAGAAAAGATAACTTCTTTAAACAGATGGTGCTGGAGAAATTCAGACAGTTATGTGCTGATTACTTTTTTAAGTCTGGATGTTCACTGTCTTACTCAGCTTGGGCAGCCGTAATGAAATACTAGCACTGGGTAGCTTAAACACAAAAACTCGTTTCTCACATTCTGGAGGTTGGAGGCCAAGATCAGGGTTCCAGGAAGGCAGGTTTCCTTCTGGGGTATGTCCTCCTGGCCTGTGCCTAGCCACCTTCCTGCGCTTCACGCCCGCATGGCCTTTCCTCTCAGAGCACATGGCAAGTGTGCGCCCTCTCTTCTCCTGACAACACCAGCCCTCTGGGCCAGGCGCCTGCCCCTAGGACCTCAGTTCACCTTAATTCCCTCCTCTTTGATGCAAACACAGTCACACGGGCCGGGGGTGGGGGGTGGTGCGCAATGCTTCAGCTTGTGAAGGGGATACCGTTCAGTCTGTAGCCTGTCCCTTTCACTTTCGACAAAAATCTCCTGGGTTCATAGACCTGGATCATAGGCATGCACGTAAAATTATGAAACCTCCCAAAGAAAATAGGAGGAAGGTCTTGGCAATTTCAAGTTTGGCAAAGATTATTTTAAGATACAAAAAGCATGAGCCATATAAGAAGAAATTGATAAATTGAACTTTATCAAAATTAAAAACTTGCTTCTCAAAAGATATTTAAGAAAATAAAATGGCAGGCCAAAGACTTAGAGAAAATATTTGTGAAAAGCACAGTGATATAGGAATGCTTTCCAGCAATAAGAAGATAAACAGCCCAATAAATAGGCAAATGACTTTAATAGACACATCACCAGGGAAGATAGATACATGGGGGCCAATAAAGACGTGCAGAGGTGCCCGGCACCAGCAACTGTCAGAGCAATAGAAAGTGGGTGAAGTAGAAGCATCTGCACAGAAGCCCGGATGTGAAGGGCTGTGGCTTCAGTCGTGATTGCCCCACGCTACAAACACTGCAGATGTCCATCAAGCGAGTGGATGCACTGTGTGTGGTCTGTGCTGTGAGCTGGTGTTCAGCGGCATACGGACAGACTGCTGGCACGTCCCACGATGTGGGCGCCTCGCCATAACCTGCCAAGTGAAGGAAGTCAGGGCCCAAAGCCGAAACGTGTGTGATGGCCTGCAGAAGGCAATGTGACGGACACAGGAAGCTCATCAGCAATGGCCGAGGGCAGTGGTGCCATGTCGCATGACAGGGTTGTGGTGGTGGGTGCTGCACCACGTGGGTTCCCAGGAATCCGTGGGGTGGGATGACTGGGAAGGGGAATTCCAGAAAGAATCCCAGGGGAATCTTCCAGTACGCAAAGGAAGCCTGAATGAGCCTGATGTCAGGAAAAGGTTGACAAGTGCATTCCATCGCCTGCCTCTTGTCTCAGCCTTAGCACCACACCCGCTGCTCTGGTGCTCGCCGCCTGACCCCTGTGGCAACAGTAGAGCTGGTCCCTCTGCTTTCAGGGTCTTATGAATGTGGTGCCACCTGCTTGTGAGGCCTCTCCCAACCACCCTGCCCCAAACTGTGGCCTCCTGACACTTGTCCTCCCTCCCCCTTGGCTGTACCTCTCCCCACCACGTTGGACTGTGAAGGTGTCCCTCCTGTGCAGTGGGTGACAGTCATGATCCTCCCAGGGCAGCTCCTTTGGCTGTCTCTCACCGGGAACAGCACCTGATGTGGGGTGGGTGCTCCATGTGCGTTAGCAAGTGGATGGGTGAGTGTGCGGACATTACCATGTTCCTTCCTGCCCCATGCCCCCCTTCTCCCACCCCATGCACTGGACACCAGTCCTGGCAGGGGCAGCTCTGACTGGCCTCCACGGCCCCGCCTCCCCCACGTCATGTCTCCCCTGCCTGCCTAGCTCTGCTGGTTTCCCTAGGGGCACTTACACCCCTCTTCCCCCTCCCACCCACCCTGCCCCAGCCGGCACGAAGCAGCACCAGTGTGATGCAGAATTGAGAAAGGAGATTTCCTCCGTGTGGGCCAACCTGCCCCAGAAGACCCTGGACTTATTGGTGCCACCCCATAAACGTAAGTGAGGGCAACAGTCTCCCTTTCATGTCCCACCTGGAGGCAGGGCAAGGTGGCCCTGGGCAGAGTGTTACCCAGTGACCTTGGAGAGGTGGGTTCACCTTCTCCAGAGTCTGGACTCGGTTTCCACCTGCAGGGAATACTGGTCTTTAAAGTCAGTGCTCAGGAGTCATGGGAGAAGGTGGCATGGTGTTCCTCTGTGGAGCAAAGTCCCCCACACTCTCAGTGTGGGGAATTGACTTCACACAACCCAGAGAGGAGACAGGGGAATTCCCAACAGTGAGAGATACCAAAAACGAGGAGGTGCTAAAGATAAGCTCTGACTGCCCTTGGCTAGGAGGAGACTGGCTGGAGTGGGGCGGGGGTGGGGGTCTGCACTCCAGTGCCCAGGACTGGAGGCACCACTGGGGGTGAGGGGATGAGTCCCTTTGACCAAAACACATGCTCCTGCCTGAGTATGCCCACTAGTCCTCTGGGGGGCATGTGTCCTCACCCCGCTGTGCCACACACTTTCTGTGGCCTCTCTGTCCCCGTCTCCTCCAAGCTCGGGTCTCTGTCTTCTCCCCCTTGCCTGCTCTTCCCTCCAGCTGACGAGATGACAGTTGGGAAAGTCTACGCAGCTCTGATGATATTTGACTTCTACAAACAGAACAAATCCAGCAGAGACCAAATCCACCAGGCTCCGGGAGGCCTGTCCCAGGTACCAGCCCTCAGTATCAGGTGCTGAGACTGGCACCCTCCCAGCGCCTGAGCACAGCGGGGAGCCGCCCCCTTCTCACGAAAGCGCAGCAGGAAAAGGAAGAGAGGCTCTTTCAGCCACCTCGTTGGCCCGAGTCAGGAACCTTGGCTAGCCTTCGTGAGTCCCTGCGGCTGGTCGCTGGTGGTTCTGAGCAGCCCCTGACTTGGGGCGCTCATGTGCAGGGGCCGAGAACCAGAGGGCTGAGGACGGGCCGAGGGCAGCACCGCGTTGGTGAGTGGTGGAAGAGACACCACGGAGGGCACGTGGAGAGAGTGTTCTGGGAGGTGCGAGGAGAGCTCACGCCCCCTGGGCCCAGGCAGGGACCAGAGAGATCCCGACTGACGGCCCAGGGTCTCCATTTGTTCCACTTGTGGCACTGACGGGTGACTCGGGAGCCTCTCTTTCTGAAGTCACCCTGTGGAGCTGACACCTTCCCCACACAGCCAGTGACCATCCGTGGGTTCTCTGTCTAGCAAGCGGCCTGCTGTTTGGGGCTTCTGAGACCTTTGCCCGTGTGGGGAAGGGAAGCGCCTGGCGCCCGTGACAGCCCTCCACTCCCCATCTTTCACTGAGTCGTCCCCCCCCACCGCCCCAAAACCTCCTCAGAATTGTCCCCCTGGGACTCCTGCCGCCTCTGTCAGGCAAGGAGAGGTGGTGCTAAGAGGAACTCCTTTCACCTTCTGTAATCACATCGAATCCCCAAATTTGTAGGTCGGGAAGCCAAAGCTCCAGGAAGTGAACCGGCTTTCCCGAGGTCACTTCCAGACCGCACTGGCAGCAGGTCCCTGCCTGCCCCACCCGTAGGGGTGGGGACAGGAGCCGGTCGCTGAGGCCCTGTGGGGCAGAGGAGTCGCCCCAGCCCTCAGAGCACTGCTTCTCCCCGCACCCCTTTTGCAGATGGGCCCCGTGTCCCTGTTTCACCCTCTGAAGGCCACACTGGAGCAGACGCAGCCGGCTGTGCTGCGAGGAGCCCGGGTTTTCCTTCAGCAGAAGAGTTCGACCTCGCTCAGCAACGGCGGGGCTGTGTGAGTCCTGGGCAGGGGGGCGTGAGTTGTGGGCCGCACAGGGCTGGCGGTGTGGGGGGAAGCCGAGCTCCTGGTTTCTCCACCTCCTACTCCGAGGGGCCCCCCTGGGCAGCACTCAGGACAGGGAGTCCTCAGGGCCCATCACAGCTCTTGGGACTGGCTTTGTGCTCGCCTCCACCCAGGTGTTCCGTGCGAGTCCGCCGCAGGCCAGTCCAGATGTGGCAGTTTCTGTGGTGAACTCTGAGCTGTGTCCCCCTGGGATCAGACAGGAGCCTTTGACGGCTCTGAGAGCCGTAATTAGACAGCCCCCAGTCCCAGCTGTCGCCTCCCACCTCGAGTGCCCGTGTTGTTGTCGGGTGAGGGTCTGGGCCTCTCCCTCCTCACTGGCCCGGACCGCCTGCAGACTGTTAAGGAATTACTTGTCTCTGCCTTGGGTCCTCACCCCATTCTGTCGGTGGTCTATCAGCGCTCTGACCTTCCTGCCTCCTTCGAGACGCTTCCCTCTCTCCATTCTGGTATTGATTTCTGCAACAACTGTGTTTCACAGACAAACTGGCAAGATGCTCTGTGTCACACAACTCTTGCCACAGTGATTCTTGGTAAAGAGCCACCCCACACCAAGTGATGTGACTTAACGGTCTCGGTTTGTGCACTGCAGACAGCTGAGAGGTGGCCGCTGGTGGCCAGCCTGGGCTGCACGTGGGGGCAGGGCCCTTCCAGCCAGGCCCTGGGCCAGTGGAAGTCCCCTGTCTGCAAATGCCCCACTGGCCCAGGCACGGACGTGAGCTGTGTCTGACCCTGCCAGGGCTGAGTGGGGCCCGACCCCCAGCCTGCTGTTCTCAGGGGGGCAAGGCCGGTCCAGTGGGTACAGAGGACTCTGGGCTCTTATTGCGTTTTACATTCTTCTTTCTTTTTAAAAAAAATATATTTTATTGGTTACGCTATTACAGTTGTCCCATTTTCCCCCTTCACACCCCTCCACCCTGTACACCCTCTCCCACCCATAGCCCCCCCTTTAGTCATGTCCATGTGTCATATGTATAAGTTCTTTAGCTTCTACATTTCCCGTACTCTTGTTACCCTGCCCCTATCTATTTTCTACCCACCGTCTATGCTACTTATTCTCTGCACCTTTTCCCCCTCTCTCCTCCTCCCACTCCCCTGTTGCTAACCCTCCATGTGATCTCCATCTCTGTTGTTCTGTTCCTGTTCTAGTTGTTTGCTTAGTTTCTTTTGGTTTTGCTTTAGGTGTGGTTGTTAATAATTGTGAGTTTGCTGTCCTTTTACTATACAAGTTTTTTCTTTATCTTCTTTTCTTAGATAAATCCCTTTAACATTTCATAAAATAAGGGCTTGGTGATGATGAACTCCTTTAACTTGACCTTATCTGAGAAGCAGTTTATCTGCCCTTCCATTCTAAATGAAAGCTTTGCTGGATAGAGCAATCTGGGATATAGGTCCTTGTCTTTCATGACTTGGAATACTTCTTTCCAGCCCCCTCTTGCCTATAAGGTCTCTTTTGAGAAATCAGCTGACAGTCTGATGGGAACTCCTTTGTAGGTGACTGTCCCCTTATCTCTTGCTGCTTCTAGGATTCTCTCCTTCATTTTTACCTTGGCTAATATAATTATGATGTGCCTTGGTGTGTTCCTTCTTGGGTCCAACTTCTTTGGGGCTCTCTGAGCTTCCTGGATTTCCTGGAAGTCTATTTCCTTTGCCAGAATGGGGAAGTTCTCCTTTGTTATTTGTTCAAATATGTGTTCAATCTGTTGCTTTTCCTCTTCCCCTTCTGGTACCCCTATAATCCGGATGTTGGAACGTTTAAAGATATCCTGGAGGTTCCTAAGCTTCTCCTCGTTCTTTTGAATTCTTATTTCTCCATTCTTCCCTGTTTGGTTGTTTCTTTCTTCCTTCTGGTCCACTACATTGTTTTGAGTCCCAGTTTCCTTCCCATCACTATTGGTTCTCTGTGCATCTTCCTTCATGTCTTTTATGGTAACCTGCATTTTTTCATCTAATTTGCACCCAAAATCAACCAATTCTGTGAGCTTCCTGATCACCAGTGTTTTGAACTGTGCATCTGATAGATTGGCTGTCTCTTGGTCGCTCAAAAGGATGAGTCCTGGGGCATTGATCTGTCCTTCTGTTTGAGACATGTCTCTCTCTCCTTTTTGTTTTTTTTTTGTTTTTTGTTTTCTGTTTTTTGGTCTGGTCACTCCTGTTACGGTGAGGGGCAGAGCCTTAGGTATTCACCGGGGCTGGGCACCCCAGTCGCTAGATTGTGACGTTGTATGTGGGGGCGGGGATGGGGGCGGGAGGGAACGAACAATGGCGGTAGCTCTGTTCTCCTGGGACCTCAGTCCCTTCCCTAGGATCCTGGGCTGCGCGCTCCGCCCTGGTCCACAATTGCCTCCTCACTGGGTCCGCCAGCTGCTGCTTGCGTACTCAGGGTCCACCCCGCTGCCATCTTGTGCACCCCAGATTCCTTACGCACTCCCGGTTGCCTTGTGCGCCCAACTCTCCCTGTTCTCTGCGCGCCGAGACCCGCGCCCAGCTGCTCCTCTCCGCCCCTCCTACCGGTCTGCGTGAACGGGTCTACTTCAACTTCTTGGCTGTCCGACTTCCATTCAGATAAATTCTCTATCAGTTCTGGGTGTTATTCTGCCTCTAAACTGTTGTTGTTCTAATCTTGGTTGTGTGGGGAGGTACGGTGCGTCCACCTATGCCTCCATCTTCTACATTCTTCTTTCAAGTTGTGTTTTGGTTTGTGGACAGTGGGTCAGGCAGTTTCAAGCCGAGTAACAAACCGCTGTAGTTCCATGGCGCATCACTTCCAGTTTCGGGGCCAGCCCGGCATTGTCTGGGGCTAAGCCTGGGCCGGCTCCTTCGTGAGGAGGGCCCAAGAGGAAGGCCAGGGTGGAGGCGTCCAGGCCTCTCCGTGGGCCCCATCCTCCAGGCCTGAGGTCGAGGGGTGGGGGCAACACTGCAGGGGAAGCCTCCACAGAACCCCGAGGGATCCCTGCGGAAGCTGGGAACAGTCCCCTAAAAAACCGCAGTTCTCGGTAGTGCCTGCAGACCCTGGGGAGGGGCGGGGGGGCAGGCCCGCAGCCTGCAGGGGAGGCTGGCAGCTCTGCTGGAGGAAGAAACCCCAGGGACAGCAGTGTGGCTGTCGGTGTAGCTCTCGGAGGCCATCAGGGCCCACCTCTGGACTTGGAGCGTGAGGGTGCCGCTTGGCCCGGGTGACGGGAGACGTGTGCAGCGCGCCACTGGGCACGAACCAGCAGAATGCAGGCAGTTTTGATGCCGCCTGGGAGAGGTGATCAGAAGGACAGACACTGAAGGGGGAGGAGCTGGCAGGTGCCATGCGTGTGCTGTGAAAGGCCCCCCCAGGTGTGGCCCTGGAGCCCCGATCTGAGGGGGGTCAGGAGGTCGGAGGAGCTGACCAGCCTTGGGGGTGAGGACATGGAGCCTCTGGAAGGTGTGGCCTCTGTGGGCAGGACGTCTTGGCAGCTGTGTGTTCCGCACGCCGCACACACATGGCCCCGTCCCTGCCCCGCTGCACACAGGAGCCCCAGCACTGGGTCCACACCCATCCCTGGGCCCCTGCTCAGAAGCACCTGCATGTGAGCAGATGCAGGTTCCTGGCAAGTGGAGTGGGTCCTGGGTGGTCATTCTCTGCTGCGTGGGCCTCAGAGCCGGCAGAGCAAGCCTCACTTCTCCACAGGCAAACCCACGAGAGCGGCATGAAAGAGTCTGTTTCCTGGGGTGCCACCCAGAGGGCCCAGGAGATGCCCTATGAGGCCAGGACCCCCCTGGAGCGCGGTCACTCCACAGAGATCCCCGTGGTGCAGTCAGGAAAACCAGTGAGGAGGCCCCGGGCTGGGGGTGGACGTGAGACGGGAGGGGGATGAGGGTGGGGGTGGGGCAGGGGGGCTGAGCTGGGGGAATGGCAGTGACACTAGGGTGGAGGAGACCAGATGGGGTTGGGGGAGGGGCTAGGAAGCAGGTGAGGCTGGGATCCACGGTGGGTGTGACTGGGTGGGGTCGATGTGCCCCTAGGCTGTGGACGTCCAGACGCAGAGCAAGGCCCTGCGGGGCTCTGACGGGGAGCCCCAACCTGGGCTGGAGAGCCAGGGTCGAGCGGCCTCCATGCCCCGTCTGGCAGCGGGGACACAGGTCGGTGGTCTCGCAGTTCCAGTGGTGGGGGCGGGGTGGGAGGGATGAGCCCTAGCCTGGAGCCTCCCCAGCTTCGCAGCTGCCTGGACACTATCAGCCCCACTGGGCACCCCCAGAATGCAATGCTGGTCTCCACAGCACCCTACCTAGCTGTGGGGCACACAGCCCGCATCCCTGACCCAGCCTTTCCTCCCTTTCTCCCCCCCAGCCCCCTCCTACCCCACAAAATGCCCTGGTGCCTCCTGCCTCCGACCACCCTTTCCCCATGGTGTCCTTGAGCCCCCGGGGGCTCTGGGGGTGGCCTGGCCTGTCTTTCTCCGGACATTGGAGGCGACGCCCCTCCGGCCCCTGCTCCTTGTGGGCCCTTTGTTGACAGAGCAGGAGGCCCTGGCAGGGGCTCAGCACCGCGTTTTCTGGGCTGGGCCCCTCTCATAAGGGTGCAGGGAGGGGCCTGCAGACCTGAGGCCATGTCGGGGCACTGCTGTCCCTGGCCCGGGACCCTCAGGGTCGGCGGCTGTGTGCAGCTCTCAGAGAGCCCTGCTGAGCCCTCCCCCTTGTGGTTTCTGGCTCCATACAGTTCATCTGTCCTCCATTCTAGAACCTTATCACTCCTGCTCCCACGGCGGCACTGTCCTTCCCAGTTTCCACGTCCTCCTGTGCATCCCCACTGCCCCCAAGGGTGTCCCGGGGTACCACCTGGCTGGGGAGGCAGGACACCCTGTGCAGACACTGCCACACACTGGGTGGTCTTGGGTGGGGCAGGGCGGGGCGGGGAGGTGCCCAGCAAGCCCCAGGGGGCCGGTCCCTCCCAGGGGCCTGTTCTGCTGTGCACCCTGCTGGGAGCCTCCCCACGCCCCTCTCAGGCTGGGCACACCCTTGTCTCCATGCAGACAGCCTCGGATGCCAGCCCTATGAAGCGCTCCATCTCCACACTGGCACCCCAGCGCCCCCACGTGGCTCCCCTCGGCCATGCCCTCCTGGGCCGTGCACCCACCAGCCAGACTGCCACCCACCACCACCACCGTTGCCACCGCCGCAGGGACCGGAAGCAGAAGTCCCTGGAGAAGGGGCCCAGTCTGTCAGCAGATGCGGATGGTGGTGGGTGTGAGGGTCCTTGAGTAGCAGTGGCCTGAGCTTGGGGTGTGACAGCCCGAGGGGGTCGGGACCCTCAGATTTCTGTGCCTCACAATCCCCCTGACAGCCTAGAGCACAGGGATGTGTCCCAGCTCTGGCACCAGGCAGGATCGCCCGCCCCAGCTCCTCCCCTGGACCTCTCTGCCAGCCTGGGGACTGGGTCTGGGGTGAGGGCACCTGCTCCCTGCCTGGCTCAGCAGGCGACTTCTCTCCCGGCACCAGCAGCCAGCGGCACTGCGGGCCCGGGGCCCGGGCCGCCCCCCGGAGACGTGCCCGCGAGCATCAGGCGGGAGCGCAGGCAGGAACGGGGCCGGTCCCAGGAGCGCAGGCAGCCCTCCTCCTCCTCCTCAGAGAAGCAGCGCTTCTACTCGTGCGACCGCTTTGGGGGCCGGGAGCCCCTGCAGCCCAGGCCCTCCCTCGGCAGCCACCCCACGTCGCCCACGGCCGGGCCGGAGCCGGGACCCCCAAGACAGGTTTGCCCAGGCAGCTGAGGCTGCTTCTCCCCTCAACACCTGGCCCGGGGCCCCTTCAGTCCCTGATCCCGGGTCCAAGTCCAAGCTGCTCCCCACCCGGCCTCGTCCCCTCTGGTTTCCCCCGGCTCTCCGGCACTCCTTCTGACCCGGGCAGAGCGGCCTCTGTCCCCTTCTGGCACCCGCCACTCCCCAACCAGCAGCTGGAGGCTAGCCACACCTATGCCTCCCAGCACGCCGCGCCCCCCCACCCCGCCCCCAGCCTGCCCCTGCCTGGTGGCTCACTGCACCTGCTGTGTCCCCTTTTCTTGTAGGGCGGTGGGTCAGTGAATGGGAGCCCCCTGCTGTCCACATCTGGTGCTAGCACTCCTGGCCGCGGCGGGCGGAGACAGCTCCCCCAGACCCCCCTGACACCGCGCCCCAGCATCACCTACAAGACGGCCAACTCCTCCCCCGTGCACTTCGCCGGAGCTCAGGCTAGCCTGCCCGCCTTCTCCCCCGGCCGACTGAGCCGAGGCCTTTCCGAACACAATGCCCTGCTCCAGAGAGACCCGCTCAGCCAGCCCCTGGTCCCCAGCTCTCGGATCGGCTCTGACCCCTACCTGGGGCAGCGCCTGGACAGCGAGGCCACTGCCCACCCTCAGCCTGAGGATGTGCTCACTTTTGAGGAGGCTGTGGCCACCAACTCAGGCCGCTCCTCCCGGACTTCCTACGTGTCCTCCCTGACCTCCCAGTCCCACCCCCTGCGCCGAGTGCCCAACGGCTACCACTGCACCCTGGGCCTCGGCTCGGGCAGCCGCACGCGGCACAGCTACCACCACCCCGACCAAGACCACTGGTGCTAGGCGCACCTCGGGCCCTTCGCCACACACTCGCCAGCGGGCCCCGTTCCTGTGGATGAGTTTTATCATCTGTGCTGGGCTCCTGGGATGTTCGGGGAGACCGAGGCGGCAGCAGCAGCAGCAGCAGCTCCTCCCGTTTTCCACTGGCTAGACTCGACGCCTCTCCGCCACAGTCCACGGCTCTGTGTCCCCTCGAGCTCCCTCTCTGGGTCACGTACCGTGGGCCCACACAAGGCGTGTGTGCGGAGCAGGGCCCTGTGAGTCCACACCCTTGGGGATGGACCCCGCACCTGGGGAGCTGCGTGGGCCCTGGAGGAGGTCTGGCTTTGCAGCACGGCCTTTCTCCCCGCGTGCGGTGCGCAGCGGCAGCGGCGAGACCTCAGGGCCAAGGTGACGGTGAGCACAGCAGCAGACTCGGGGGCACACGGGTCTCATCTGCGTCGTGAGGCCACGCGTCCCGTGTGGTTCTTTGACTCTTAAACAGCAAGTGGACTCAGCACGTCCGACGCTCTGTCCTCCACCAGACACCGTCCACCCTGCAAGGGACCAAATCTGGGAAACGGGTTTTGGTTTTTAATCGCAACCTCTGTGTGCTCAGCCTAGAAAAACAGAGACCAGCTGACAGGGAAGGAGATGCTGGCATGACTGCAAATGTCAGACCCATGGGAAGGTCTCCGCTTCTCACCATGTTCTGTGACTGGCGTGAGGAGACGCTCTTCTGTCCAGTCCAGGTGGCCCCCCTCCCCCCGACCTCTGGCTCTCGCTGCTCCCTACCAAGTGCCTGACCTCCAAGCCCTCTGGCGCCAGGCTCCTGGGGGCGGTGACACTCGGCTGTGTGAACCGTGCTGGGTGTGTGGTTGCTGTTCTGCACGGCAACCTGGCAACCAAGTAGAAAGCTGCTGTCAGCCGAGAGCACACAGCCCACATCCAGCAGGACCGGGTAACTGGCGGTGAGGGGACTTTCCCCTTTCTCGGCTCCCTCTGACATGGAAGGTTTCCGGAAAGTGCCGAGGGGCAGTTGCTGTGTGGGGCCTTTATAGTCTGTGCCACACTGACCCTCAGGGATGGACGCCTGCCCAGCAGAACCTGTGGTTGTGAATGTATCTCTTCACACCAGATGGGAGAGATGGGGGCGCGGTGGGGTCGGGGCTGGACTGGGCTCCTTGGGCAGGAGGGCCGACTGGACTGAGGTCAGAACTCGGAGGAAGTGACCCGTGAAGGAGAACCTTGGCTCCAGCAGCTGCGTGGTGGCAGTGGAGCCCGGCTGCGACTCTGATGCAGGCGGGAAGAGTGGAATCCAGCCGCCGGCCACTCTCGGAAGGAAAGACCCTAGTGGGACGTGAAGCCTGAGACACTGAGAGACTAAGAGTTTAGACAGCATATTCCAGTGTGGCCTCCCGTGCTTTGAAATGTCGACGATCTTTGCTGCGTCATGTGTGTTCCCACTGCCTTGTGCCCACGATTCACCGTGAAGAAACGGTGTGTGTCGTATGTGTCTGTGTTGGAGGTGTCACAGTGAGTGGATGCTGTTCCCCCATAGGGCTATGCAACAAAAGACACACGTTTACTAGAAATAAAACACAAGACCGCCACCTGTTCTGGGGTTTCAGCATGATTGTGACCAAACCATTTTATAGTTTCCTTACTGGAAGGCACAACCCTGAGACTGTAAGATAACAGAGTACTTTGCTCCGATCTGATGCAGCTGAACCGGAGCCTGGACTATGTGTGGGAGCACTGCGACCTGTCGCAGAGCAGAGGGGGTTTTGTCTCTGGTCCCCAGCCCCTCACTCTTGAGCGTGCTCATTCGGTGCAGAACCACAGCTGCTTCCTCTCGACGCTGGAGCAGTGAAAAGTACAGGGCGTGGGGGCCGACACAGTGTGTCTCATTTTCCCGACTTCGGGTTTGGTCTCTCTGCACCATCTCTTTTCAGCCATCATGGTCCCCCACAACCACAGTGAGTTGCCAAACTTGGAATGCATTAACCACTTGTCTGCACTGGAACCATTCGAGCAGTGGCCATAGTTTGAACCAGTTGCGTGTGCATGTAAAATTTATACATATATACAATATGCAAGTATGTGCATGACAATATATATCTTCGTACTTTTTGATACAATGTAATCATTTGTTAATTTTTAATTATATTTGATATAAATCAAAAGTTTGTTGCAAAAGTTTATATTTAAGAACAGTGTTAAAAGAAAAAAAAAAAGTCCCAACCACGCAACACAACTGGGACTCACTTTTAAAAGTTCTGTGATCGACTAGTTTGCTGCTTGAGTGATATTTATCAACCCAACTTTGGATTCTGCTATTGTTTCTACATTGACATTTTGTATGAAGCAAAGTCCTTGGATTAAAATAAAACTTAGCAAAAAACTAAAACACAAAATCCCACCAAGCTGCTGGGTGTGTGTGTGGGGGGTGCGGGAGTTGGAGGACAGTGAGTCCCAGGACCGAGGTGTCTCGGTGCACAGACAGCCGTGCATGGTGAGGAGGGTGCAGAGGGAATGAGAACCTGGCGGCACCACGACCGGGCTGAGAGTCGGGGTGAAGACCGGGTCGATGGAGGCAGGAGGACCCTAGATAAGGCCTCGTGGGGAGTTAGGAGTGCAAGGGAGGGTGGGTTGAACCACTTAGTTCAAGAACCTTCTCTCCACCCCACGAGGAACCCCTACCACTCAGCTGTCACCGCTCTTTCCCCTCCACCGAGCCCCTGGCAACCGCTAGCGCACTGGGTGTGGACCTGCCCCTCCTGGACGTTTCCTGTGAGTGGAACCCTGCACTGTGTCCCCCTCTGCGACCAGCTCCTCTCATCTGCAGCCATCTAGTGGGCAGCCGGTGTACAACACCTGAGTGTATGGCACCATAAATAGTTACTATTCTCTGCTGCAATCTAGGTTGCAACCTGTAAATACACCTGAGCAGAGCTCAGGAGGAAAAGCTCTCGTCCACTGCCATCTAGTGTTGAACTTCAGAACAACACCTGGGTGCTGGCCACCACGGATACCACCTCACTGCTGCCAACTAGTGGGCTAATCTGGAATACCTGCCCCTCTGTACAGAGGGGCTGCAGTAACACCCCCCTCCCCTAGGCTTGCTGGGGACCAAACATAGGGGGTCCGCACCTGGTGAGGGTATAGTTTTTTTGAGAGTCCCAATGGTGCTGCTTGGACAGCTGGACAGCTGGTTACACGTGGAGACTGGGGCCGTGAAACCAGTTGTCAGTGAGCTGGTGACCCAGGACCCAAGCAGCCATCGCCCCACGCACCAAAGACCCTCGGCAACAAGGGCTGTGGTCCCCTTGAGGCTTGCCCGGGCCAGGGCTGACACGTAACATTGTGCGTGTCCACAGTGTGCAACGGGACGACCTGACATGCAGGTGTGCTGCAGGATGATGGCAGTGAGGCCTGGGCACCTCCGTCACCTCCTGCCATCCCTGTTTTCCTGTGGTGATGGCAATAAAGATCTACCCCCTTTAGTGACCTTCCAGGGAGCTCCCGGGGTTGTTAATGACAGTCGTCAAGCAGAAGTCGCTCGCCTGTGACTGCACAGCTGTCTCTGTGATCACCCTCCCCCTCCTCTGCCAGCCCCCCGCCCCGTCTGTCCCTGTGGGCCTGTGTTCTCAGCTCCCGCACGCCCACGTGAGTGAGATCGAGGTCAAGCGGTACGCAGCGCACCGCCCTCGGGGGCCGTCCGTGCTGCTGCAGACGGCCGCCGGGTTTCCTCCCGGCTCTGGGCCCCGCCGCGCCCCTCACATCCACACCCACAGCGCACACCCGTGTCCACTCCTCCGCCGCAGACTCGGGCTTGCGTCTGCGCCTGGGCAGCTGTGGATGACGCTGCGTTGAGGACGGGGGTGCAGGCGCGTTTCTGAGGGCGTGGCGCGTGTGCCTCTCGTGAGGACCAGTCACGTCACCTGGACAGCCCGGGAGAACCCCCTCACCGCCCTGGCCACGGAAGCCAGGCACGCACAGGTTCCCGGCCTCGAGGCCTGGACGCTGCGGGAGGGCGTTGCTCCGCCACCAGGCTCCACGGCAGGCCGCCCGCAGCCACGTCTCCCAGACATCGGCTCCGCAGCGCAGCCTCGTCTTCCCGAACGGGGAGTCTGTTTGCTCGGGCTCACCCCTCCCGCCCGGGCTGCCTCCGGGTCCAGGCTGTGCCCAGGCGACCCCGGGTCCTGCGTCCCCACTGGCCTCCCCTCAGTGACTCCAGACCCCCGAGACGGCAGCTGCTACAGGAGAAAACGAACGTCCCCTTTCCTCCAGGCTGCGTGGCTGAGCCCACCCTCAGGCCCCTGGGCCTGTCTCCTCCTCCTTCGGAGAGAGAAGAGATGCTCTGCCGCAGCTCTGCCCCTGGAGCTAGGATTTCAGGCCCCCTCCCCCCCGACACACACACTTGTTCTCCTGGGGCATTACAAAGGACCCCAGTAAGGCCGAGCCCCACGAGCAGCCAGGGGGCTGGGTCCCGCCCAGCTCTCCCCACCCACCGGCCTCCGTTGTGGCCTTCTCCCCGCCCCTCCTCACCGAGCGCCGCCTCCCAGCCTTGGAGCCTGGCTCCGCTTTGCGGGAGGACAGATGCCGGAGGATCAGTGACATGGAGTGAGGACGAGGCTGGTGGACATCTGTGTTCCTGGGGTGCTGGCTACGGCGGTCAGTGGAGGGTGCTTGTGTCTCCGGGATCGTGACAGACGGCAGGAGGGTGTGGCAGTTGTGGAGGTTCTGCATGGTCCCCCAAAGGCAGGACTGTGCCCTTCCAGGCAACGGGCTGGTCTGACGCCTCCATCTGTGGTGCTGACAGCAGCGCATTCCAAGTGCGTCCTCGGGCAAGGTGACCTCCAGCAGCAGCCTGGGGCCTTGCGAGCAGAAGTGAGCGACTGCTATTCTCAAGCTGCTTTGGGGGCTGCAATTCTCCAGGCTCCCCTGGGTGCTTGTCAGCAGAATCTCCTGGGTCACGACGCACAGTGACGGGAGTCGGTGGTGCCCGAGGAGCTGAGCTGTGAGAGGCCCGTGCGGTGCTCTCTCCCCTCGTTCTCCTGGGCTTCCCGGGCCCAGGCCCTGCGGTCAGCCCCGGAAACGCTGTCTGCGGGACTGCCGGGCACAGCAGTCCCTGGTGCTGCAGTCAGAGCCTCGTCTCCGGGGAACCCTCTGGAGAGGCCCTGCCCTGGGCAAAGCCGTGTGCCTCCCCGACCCACACCCCCGACCCCGCCTTTGCCAACTCAACAAAGCAGACCCCAAACCAATGAGCAGCTAAACCTGGGGACGAGGGGAGACCCCTGAGGAGCCACAGCCGAACTCCAGCCCCAAACCACACGCTGCGCATCACCAGGGCAGGCGCAGTGGCCGCAGCTGGGCGCCTGCCAGTGAGAACGCGGGCTGTGGAGCTGGGGCGCAAACGTGCGCTGGCCTGGCCTGGCCGGGGCCCTCAGCGGCCCGTTTGGTAGAGTGTGGGGAAGCGAGGCGGACGGAAGTTCACGTCCAGTCGGCTCTCTGGCACTGAAAGGGCTCTGTGATCGTGACGCCGCGGTCTCAGGGCACGGACCCGGGGCTGAAGCGGGCTGCGAGGAAGGGGCCGCTGGCACCGCCCCTTTGCGGAGAACTTGTCCCTGTGACGCCGGGTCGGGCGCCCCGGGGCAGCTGTCTGCGCCTCTCCAGGTCCCGCGGTGCGCCCGCCCGGCCGGCCGGCCCCAGGCCTGCGCGGACACGCTCTGCACTCTCGGAAGAGGCAACTGGAGGACCTGGGGCCACTGTCCAGAGCCTGAGGCCCCGGGTTCTCCGGACCAAGGCGGTGCCCACTGCCTGCCGCGGCCTGAGCCCCGCGCCGTGCGGGAACTCTGCCCTTCGGGGCGCGGGCGCAAGTGCGGGGCGCGGTCCCTGCTGGTCCCGGGACGGGAAGGGCACGCTGGTGGCTCCCGGGCAGGGAGAAATCTTGGCCCAGACGCACAGGAAGTTTCCGGAACTGGCTCCGGGAGCACGGAAGCCGGACTGGGAGCCTGTTCCCCACGCGCCGCGGGACGCCCAGTTGGTGCGGCTGTGGAAGCAGGTGCGCCGCCCCGGCGTCCTCACCGAAGACGGTGAGGAGGAGGGTCCTCAGAGGGCCATGGAGGAACGTTGCTCGTGGGCCACAGAAGCCTGACGTGTGCCCCTCTGCCTTCCTGCCAGACCCTTCCAGATGCGCCGTTTCCCCAGAGGCCCCGAGGTCCGTGCAAGCCTGCGTCTGTGCCGAGTTGGCGCTGCCGGCGAGTTAAAGGGGCCGAGGCTGGAGCTGACGCCACGGACAGGCGTGGCTCCGTCGCTGGCCAGGGTCCCGGAGGCGCCCTCCCGAGAGGAGCGGGTTCACTGAAACCAAGTGGAAGCAAAGCAAGGCCAGCGGCTCCTGGCGCAGCCCCAATCCTCTGCGGAGAGAAGTAGCAGGTAGGGGGGCGGGGAGCCCGCGGAGGCCCAGTGAGCCCTGGGGGCAGGTGTGCAGTGGACGCGCGACCGCCGGCGGCTCCTCGCCCGGGCCTTTTCACGACAAGTCTGCGTGGGAGGAGTTATCAGCAAAGTCACGTTCCCCTCGGACTGAGCTTACTTTTCAGTCGCTTCTCAGCCAAATTGGGGACCCTCTGGGGGTGGCGTCCTGCCATGGAACTCGGGGCGCGCGCCCAAGTAACTCTTGCCGCTGCTCTTGTAATGGGTCTGGTGCCCTGCGCTTGGGGTCAGCCTGGGGCTGGGGACGAAGACCCGCCCTCCGACGGCTCGGCCTGAGGACGGTCTGGCCCCGTGGGAACGGCTCCAGCCGGCAGGTGCGCGTCCCTCGCTCCTCGTCCAGAAGTGGAGAGGGCAGCCCAGAGGGCCTCCCGTGCCCTGCTCCCTCCCTGTGAGACTCCGGTACCGACGACGGGGCTAGCAACGCCTTCTCTCGGTGGCTAATCCCCAAACCGCCCCCAGGCTGGGGTTTTGTGGAAAAGCAGCGCGCACCCACCCACCTTGACTTTAACGGGTTTGTGAGGGCTTTCTGCAGCAACGGTCTGCAAACAGTGCGTCAGTCATGCTCCTGGGAGACAGCAAGGTGGGCAGGAGCCCTTTGCTTGTTGTTCAGCCTGTCTCGGAGTTTTCACGTTGAGCGCCTGTTCCTCGTGCAATCTGAAAACCTGCGCTGAGGGGGAAACGCGGGGGAACCCGTTTGGCCCCTCCGTGGACTCTTTAACTCTTCCGTCTCCCGAGCTTCCCAAGTCCCGCCCATGGGCCAGGACCACCCTCTGGCACCTAAGAAATTAACCTGTGACGCCCAAACGGAACAAGGCAGTCAGAGTCCAGTGTTTGAGGAGAGCTGCAGACTGGCCCTGCCGCTCCTGCTGCCAGCGCTCCGCCCGCTGGGCCCCATGCAACCCGCCGCCCTGTGCTCGGTCTGCCCCTGTGGCCGCCTCCTGGGGGCCCTACCTCAGCGTCTCCCTGCCCCCCTGGGACGTGGTCCCCGAGTTCTGCGGAGACAGTGCCCAGACGGTTAGGGTTATCGGGGAGAGGGCGGCGCGGTGGGACCAGGGGCTGGGGGTGGCCGGGGCGGGGGTGGGGTTGTTCCTGGGGAGATGGAGACACAGGGAAAGGCGGCGCCACCCCAGACCTGCAGACCAGACACAGAACTGAGCGCAGCGTTTCTCCAGCACCCGCCGCGCACACGAGATGTGCGGAGGAAGCTGTCTACCTGCAGCCCAGGGCTGGCCTGCCCCTCGCACCTGGGAGAGGAGCCCTCGGCTTTGGGGAGTCGCTGCCCTTCCCCACCGGCTGTGCCCAGCTCTCGGCACCTGGAAGCCGGCAAAGACTTACCTGGAGGCTGCCACGACGGGCTGCAGTGGTGGGCGGTGGGGTGTCTTAGGGTCACTCACTGGCTCCTGGGGATGGCGCAGGCGGTGCGGGCACTAAGACGCCGGCCCTGGGTGCCAGGGGGTCTCTGCCGAAGGCCGGGAGGTGTGGGCAGGCTCTCCAGACACAGATGCAGCTGCACCACGGCTGTGGGAGCCACCCGCTTCCTCCCTGCGGACCTGTCGTCGGGGACTGCAGGCTCCCAGCCGGCGTGCGGGGAGGCGGGAACTGTGCTCCGAGCAGGGCACCTTCCTCGCACCCTCGACCTCCCTGGGATGCCCCGCGCCCCGCCCTCCTTGGGGACAGCAGCCGTCCCTGCACACAGCCCCCCAGGAGTCACCGCTGGCTTTGGGGACAGAGAAGCAGCGGTGGGAGCAGCAGGGAACGACCTTCCTTCCAGAGCCAGCCCACAGTGTTGGGAGACCCCGGCCTGGGAGGGGGTGCCTCCCGTGAGCCTTAAACCGCGGCGGGACACCTGCGGTGGGGCCGGGCAGGGCGCACCGCCGTTCAGCTCAGGGCTGCCCCTGGCCTGCCGCCAGCAGGAGGCCTGTCAGCTTCCTGTCCCGGTCCTGCAGACTGGCCCCCAGCTGCAGCGTCGTTGCCTGGTAGCCACAGGTCAGAGTGCATCTGCTGGCAGACCCTGCCCCCTGGGTTTCGATGCAGGGGCGTGCCACCGAGTTTCTTTCACTGGGTCAGCACACGTGGCTTCTGCTCGGAGCTCCATGGGGGCTGGCGAATGCAGACGCCACCCTCGCCTGGGCTCCCCGACTCCAGGGCGATAAGCTCAGTGCTCCTGCCTTCCACCCTGCTGCCCCAGGTTTGCTTTGGGGTCTGGTGGTCTCTGGGAGCTCATGTCCCTGTAGAAAGACTGACTTTCTAGATGAGACATCTGGTCGACCATAGACCCTGGCCATGGGGCCTTCCTCCCTTCTCTGAAGAGCTGGGACCACAGATGAGGTGCGTGGCCTCCCTGAGCCTGGCCCCCTGGGCTGTGACATGCGCTGTCACTGCGACCTTGGACGGCCCAGTGCACATGACCCCGGGTTCCTGTCTGCAGACATTCCACCTGCACCTGTCCCCCACGAGGGTCTCTGAGGGACACCAAAGTAAGTGTCCTGTGCAGCCACTGGGGCTGCTGCCTGGTGGCACTTGCTCCTTGAGTCCTTTCTTGTTTCTCCTGCAGAGGAGTTTGGTCCTCCAGGCTGGAGGGGCTGGGGATCTGGATCAGAGAAAAGGAGGTTCCGCCCTCTCTGCCCCCAAATCTCAGGGGCAGGAAACTCTGCACAGGATGGGGACAAGGCTCAGAGGCCCCTGGCCAGACCTGGCCCCCACCCTCCTCCTGTGCTGCCTTCCCTGGGGAGCGTGCCAACATCGTTTGTAAGTTCAGTGAGGTTGCTGACATACAGCGTGGAGGGCACGCCTGGGACTCGCTGCACAGCCTGCACCAGAGTCCACACCTGAGCCCACAGCTGAGCCCCTGTGTAGCCTGAATCGCCAGGCTGGGCCTAATTAAACGCAACATGGTAATAACTACTTTCAGAAACCAGAGTGGTAACAGCAATACTGAATATCTAAAAGACCTCAGAGAGAACTGAAGGCAGACACGTTTTAGATGCAGCTGCTGTTAATCCAGCCAAAGTTGGGGGGCTGAAACGCAAACAGATTCCTGATTTTAGGTGAACTTCCTAGTGAAGGGCAGAGAACCCACTTTCTTGCTCCCTAGGGAGTGGGCGTGGCAGATGGGGGCAGCTACACCGTCCTCCCCTCCAGCTGGGGGCTCGCCCTGACCTTCCTGGTGGGGGCCTCGCCTGTTTCCAGGGTGCACTTCAAGGAGACCCCAGGGCAGGGGCGACCTCGTCCTCATTCACGGCGCAAACGCACCGCGTCATGGCCAGCGTCCTGCAGATGCCAGGTGCCCCTGCTCAAGGCCCCTCAGCTGGCACTGGGACGCCACCTGGTGTGAGCTGCCCCAATGGGAAAGCTTTTCTGTGCTTTTTCTCTTAGTTGAAAAGTCAGAGGACAACTTGTTGACATCGACCCTGCAGTCCAGATGTGCTCATAGCAGAGGTAGCCAGGCACTGCCTTCTAGAAGGCACTAGGAAGTTCCACAGCTCTCATCAGAGAGGCGCTGGGTCAGGGTGGACCAGGGCAGATCCTTGAGTTCCACCGCGGTCAGGGCAGGTCCCTGCCCCAGCGACCTTGAGCGGCCTGGGTGGGACAACACAGGAGAATTAAATCGATGTGAAATCCTACTCCAAACAGTAAGAACTGTTCTAGTCATAAGTATCTACCTCTTCAGGCATCGGTAAGTGAACATTGCCTTTATTCTGTGGTGCTCTTTCTGGATTCTACTGCAGCAGGCCCTTCACATGGGTGCAAGCCTTGTGAATCCTCAGGTTTTCTCTTTTCCCAGTGCATGCACTACTTAAGATTATGCAGTTTGCTGTTGGTTTTGGTATGTAGCATTTTTATTATCACTCAGTTTGAGGTATTTTCTAAATGTGATTTATTTGGAGGATTATTTAGAAGTGTATTCATGACTTCTGCATATAAGAACTTTCTAGTTATCTTTTGCTACTAGTTTCTAGATTAACTGTAATGAGAGCAAGAAACATACTTTATGCAGTTTCAAGCTGTTAAGTGTAATGAAACGTGCTTTATAACTAAATACGGTCAGGTTTGAAAATGTTCCAAGTGTGTATCTCTGCTGCCATCTCGTGGAGATTTGGGGGAATGACACCTTAGTGGAGGTCCACAGGAAAAATGGTTATTCTAGTTGAATATCAGCGACTGTGGATTGGAGTGGTATTTAGAAGTGTGTTTCATAACTTTTCAATGTAAGGACCTATTAATTACCATTTGTTCCTGATTTATAAACTCACAGAAATTAGAGTAAGAATTATATTCTATATAATTTTAGTTCTTTGTAATTTTTAAAATCTTACTTTATGGCTCATTATGGTCACTTAGGAAAATGTTCTAAGTGTGGCTCTCTTCTCGTCTCAAGTGCATCTTGGGAAGGACACCTTGGTGCAGGCCAGCAGGAAAGGCTGTCAGCTGCAGTGAATGATCTACGAATGTGGAATGGAGTGGCACTTAGTCGTGGATGTTATTACTTTCATATAAATGGACTTCGTAGTTCATTTTTCCTTCTCCCCCACGTACAACAGTGGTGTCTTTACATCAGGTACCCAGGCGCCTCTCCTGGGCCAGACCTGTGTTCCTGTCTCAGCTGTGTCCATGTCTCTGTGGTCCAATGTCCAGTGTGTGTCAGCATCCTGGCAGCATCGGTGTCCCTCCCTTGTCCCCGACACACTGATGTCCCAGCCTTGCCGAAATCATGATTGTGTCCAGGTCCCCTCTGCCTTGATGTCCTGGCTGACCAGATGTCTCAGCTGTGCCCCTCTCCTATCTTTGCTGAAGTCCAGGTTCCCCTGGTGTCCCAGCCGCACTTCTGTACCGTCTGCGTCGATGCCTCAGCCGAGTCAATACGTCAGCTGTGCCGCTGTCCTTTCTGCATTGATGTCCTGTCCTGCCTGGTATTTGTTCATGCTCGTGCCCATACTAAATGTTGAATGTCTCGTATTGATCCAATTCTGATATTTTGATTATTATCCCAGGTGTTAGAGCCAACAAGGTTTGTGGAAAATAATCCCTTTTTAGTCCCCCACAGTTTGGAAAAGATGGCGGTGTGGAATGAATGGTGAGACAGTGCTAACTCCTGAGCCTGTTGCAGCTGAGAGATCATGGACATCTGCCCTCCAAAGTCAACATTCTTTTTGTTCATTCTTTCTTTGTTGCTAGGTTTGGTAAAATGTGGAAGTTTGCATTTAGGGAGACTTGAGTTTTATCTTATTGAATCACAGGTTTATTACAATGGGAGGATCCAATTCAATTTCTGCTTCTGGCCTCTGGCAGTGGGGCCCCAGCATCTGGCTCCAGCTTAAAATTCTGGCCATGGCATCCTGGTTATTATAGATCTGCGTCCTGTGTCCAGGGCCTGTGCTTCAGAGTCAAAATGTATTCGGTTGTGTGTCTGCAGTCTTGCACCTCTTAGGATGTGACTTTGTGTCCTGGGTTCGTCTGTGAGGTCCACGTGCAGATGAAGATTTTGGTTCTGGTGTATGGAATCTGGTTTTAAGGGTCCGGTGTCAGTCCCTGGCATCTGGTGTTTGGCCTTCAGACTGCATGGTCTGGCTCGGGTGTGGGCACATGGCTTTGGGTTTGGGGCTTTGGGCCTGGAGTCCTGGTTTTGGTTTTGGTTTGCTCCAGGGTGCAGGTTTTGGATTCAAGGGTCTGTGTACAAGGTCCTGAGTTTGGCTCTGGTGTCTGTCAACAAATGATCAATGTGTTAAATTCAATGTCAATATGAGTCCTCAAGTGTATGGGCAATTAACCAAACTCGAATTATGGGCTCTTTCTTGCTAATACAGAAACCTGCTTTATATTTTTAGACATTAGATGTTTACATTCCAAGGGCTTACAGGTTTAAATAGGAGGACAGACTGTTCTCTGTGGTATGATGTCCAGAGCCAGGCATCTGGAGTCAGGGACAGGCTTTGGACAACCACGCAGTCCAGTGTCTGGTGTGTGGCATGGTTCAGGGTTAGGGTTAGAGGGTTGTGGTTGTGGTTGATGCCATGACTTGTCTTTAACTTCATTTGAAACCTTTTTTATGGACTTCACTGTGACAGCTGTCGTCTCAGCATGCATTAAAAATCTGACCAGAACTCATGAATATTTGTGTGGACATTGTCGTATTAAAGAAGGATGAACATAGCGACATTATTGGCACATTAGGCTTTGTCATTTCAAGAAAAGTGAAAACACAACTGAAATGGACAAAAAGGTCTGTGGTGTGTGTGGAGGAGGTGCTGTAACTGACCAGACGTGTCAGAAGTGGATTGCGAAGTTTCATGCTGCAGACTTCTCATGTGCAGTTGCCCCCTGGGTCATAGGGACAAGTTGCAGTGCAGAGCCATCCAGTCCAGATGTTAACTGAGGACAGACCACGTTATGGCACGTGGGAGCAGGTGACATACTCAAAGTATCCCAATCAATAGCATCGAAAATCATCTGCAATGGCACAGTTATGTTAATTGCTTTGATGTTTGGGTCCCACAGAAGTTAAGCAGGGAGGAGGAGGGAACCCTTCTTAACCACATTTCCAAATGAATTC